CTGTTATAGCTTTTTGATATTCTGGGAATTTTCTTTACACACTTTCTGCTACTTGAACTAGAACAATTATTTTTAAATTTCTAAGAACTCTTAGTAACCGATTGCTGTTTTTCATAGTATTTTTTCCACATGCACAATCTTTCCCAGTTTTTTTAAAAAAAAACTTAGATTAAAAGAATTATACAGTAAATACCTGCGTAACCTTCCACTTAGATTCAATAATTTAAAAACACTCACAAATGCTTGCTTGCTGTTTATGTACACATCTTTGTATGTATGCGTGTATGTATGTAGATCTATTCCACCCACACAAATGTTCTTTTATTCCAGACCATTTAAATGTAATTTGCAGATGTTATGACTGCTCCTAAATATTTCAGGATGTGTCTCTTAGGAACAAACAAGTTCCCTTATACAGTTACAACCTTATTATTGCAACTATGGAAATTAACACGCTTCCTTAATATTTAAGTGTCCAAGTAGACATCTGTATTCTCAATGTGTGCAGTGGCAAAACCTACTGAAATGTAAAAAACCCATATGCTTTCTCTCAGAACATCCATCTCTATCTGCATATGTATTCCCACACTTATGAAGTATATATATAAGGTTAGTCACTGCAACAATACTTAAAAGAGCCAATGATAGAAAATAACCTAAATGTCCGTTAGTGTAGGATTCAAACACATTGAAATCAAACACCTGTTTGAAATGAAGCTTACAGGTAAAAGTTTTTACAAACGAAATTTTCATACAAATGAGTTAAATTTAACTGGAAAAAATCTGCATATTGTTTTATTAAAACAAAAAATTGGATATTTGCAGTTAATTGAGAGATAGAGAAACTATTGTAAGCAATTGCCTCTGGAGAAGTGAATTGTGACTAGGTCTAAGGGAGAACAACTCCTCATTGAATACTCTTGAATTTTGTACTATGTGCGTGACACATAATAAAAAAGGTGTTTAGTGTCAGTGAACATTAAATCTCATGGAGCAATGATTCTCAACCCAGCGTAACTTTTGCCTCTTAGGGAACATGTTAGTGTTGTAACTGGAGGTGGGGATAGTGCTACTGGTGTCTAGTGGATAAAAGCCAAGGTTGTGTTAACCTACTGACAATACACAGGTCAGCCCCACACAACAAAGTCTCCTGGCCCAAAATGTCCCTACCCAAATAGTGCTGAGGTTGAGAAAAGCCTGCTGTAGAGCATTTCTTCTGAATGTTAAAATGTGGGAAGTGATAAATAAGGTTAAAGACAAGTCACAGTGCATGTACCTAAGCATTCAATCATTGTGCCTTTACTTCTACCTGTGAAGGGAGGTGGTTGGATAATCCAGTATACTTGGTTTGCCTCCTGGATTTTTGTAGTTTTGTACACTACTGAGTTTCTGCAACCTTAGTTCAAGCTAATAATTTTAATTACTGTAAATTTAGTATAGTCACTGCAGAGCTTTTTTTTTAGATTTATGTAATTTATTTCTAATTTTAAAAGTTTATTTTTTAAAGATTTATTTATTTATTCATATAGAACTGGGGTACAGGCCAGAGATGCGAAGGGTGAGAGGATTCACCAGAGACAGAGTGGGGAGCAGAACAGGCAGATCGACGAAGTACACTGCTGAGGGGAGCAGTGGGCAGGTCAGGAGAGGTCTGCCACGCCCTGTGGTCTCCTCCAGGGCAGGCGGAATCGAACTCATGCGGAAGTGGCCTAAGCTTCTTAGTGCTGTGCTTTAACCCGCTGTGCCACAAGGGAGGGCCTAAAAAAGTTTTTTATATCATTTTGTGTCTTTTTCCATCTCAGTTGTAATCCCTGTAAATTTCCCACCACCAGTTCTCCTGTGTGCCATCATCATAGTCTAGTACACTGCCCCCTCCCCCATTTTTGATCCCATTCTCCACTCCACCCCTGTAATGTCTCTGGTATATAATTGTTCATTATTATTATTCTTTTCTCCCCTGGTCTGAGAGGAGCTTTTTAATGGGTTGGCTCTACCCACAAAGACTTGGCTGGCCTTGATGGATGATGACATGGTACAGTGGAAGTCAGAAGTCTACAGTATAGTTCTGGCTTTGTCACTAACTCATAGTAAGTGAACCTCTCAATCTCTTGTCTATAAAGTATAGACCCCAAAAGGCAAAATTTAAAAAAAATAAAGTGGGTAATTTATGAGGGAAAGTATTTCATAAAAACATGAAAATATTTAGCCTTAGTAAAAAGGAATATAAATTTTGATTTTGTACCTATTATAACAACAAAATGAACAGCCAAATGCCATGAAATATTGTTAAACTAGTATAAACAAACCATTCTGGAAAATATGACATGTTCATGTAACTGAGCCATACGCTCCTACTTTTTGACTTAGTAACTGCATTTCCCAGAAATTTATCTTAAGGAAATTACAGTATAAAAAATACGTATGCATAAAGTTACTTATTCATTTGAATATTGTACACTGAGATAAAACAAAAATATAATTTAGAAGAATTATGGATACATTATTTAGTGCTTGATCTTGTTAAGCTGGCTTTTTTTTTTTTTTTTTAAAGATTTATTTATTCATTCATACAGAACTGGGGTACAGGCCAGAGATGCGAAGGGCGAGAGGATTCACCAGAGACAGAGTGGGGAGCAGAACAGGCAGATCGACGAAGTACACTGCTGAGGGGAGCAGCGGGTGGGTCAGGAGAGGTCTGCCATGCCATGTGGACTCCTCAGGGGCAGGCGGGAATCGAACTCATGAGGAAGTGGCTTTAGCTTCTCAGTGCAGTGCTTTAACCCGCTGCGCCACCAGGGAGGGCCTAAGCTGGCTTTTAAATTCTAAGAAAGAGAACTTGAAGATGAATTTAAGGAATAAAACCAATTGATCTTTAAAGTCTATGATTCTAATAATTCTCTGATATGTATTCAGTGTTCTGCTATTAGCTTTCCTCTATAGGCAAAAATGTGGTAATGGATCAATCTTTGGAATATAGACAATGCTCTGATACATACATATCCCTCTCACACAAACTCACATAGTTTATAAACTATCAATTTTGTGTGATTTATAAAAATTCCTGATTTTAGGCCCTCCCTGGTGGTGCAGCGGGTTAAAGCACAGCACTGAGAATCTAAAGCTGCTTCCGCATGAGTTCGATTCCCGCCTGCCCCGGAGGTGACCACATGGTTTGGCAGACCTCTCCTGACCCGCCCGCTGCTCCCCTCAGCAGTGTACTTCGTCAATCTGCCTGTTCTGCTCCCCACTCTGTCTCTGGTGAAGCCTCTCACCGCCCCTGAGCCTCTGGCCTGTACCCCAGTTCTGTATATACAAATACATCTTTAAAAAAAAAAATTCCTGATTTTAGACATACCCCATATCTATCTTCATATCTGAATATAAGACTTAGAAGATGTAAAAAGGGTAAGCACAGATCTTGGAACAGGGAAATCATTCTAGTACAACCTCATTTTACTGATCAAAAATTGATGCTCAGAAAGTATGGTATTACATGTCGAGAAAATGAAATTTGGAGAGTATGAGAAAAATAAATATGGGGGGGGAAATTGAAAAGGAAGGTAAAAGCAACAAGTAATTATAGTTCATGTATATTTGGGTGATAAGTGGGAGCAAGCTTACTTTATTAGGGACTAGAAAATGGCCACTAAGCCCTAAAGTGTGGCTGTGTTGGGTTCAACACATTGTCCTCCCAACCTGTCCTGTTATTTATCATACACAGGTGTACATCAACTATCATGCCTTTACCATTTTAAGTCTAACTGAAGGTAGAGCCTTTTAAGTCCCTAAGATTAACACTAAACCAGATCTTTATTCACAAATAACAGGGAACATTGTTAACAACAACAAAAAAAAAGTAGAGAAATTGGTGTCATACTGGTTTTTTCTATTTTCCACATAAAATGTATCTTTATTACTCCCTCCCTCCACTTCGAGTTCATCACCTTAGATATTGTTTTCAATAAATCTTTAAAAATTACTAGCTAATTCAGAAGGAAAACAACTGGCTTCCATAGTTTCAGAAAGAATTTTAAATGAAGTAGTTCATTTTATCTGTAATGTGTGTGTGTGTATACTCTCTCAGAAATCAAGTTTTATCTTTATATAAGCTTCTGAGAGGAGATTGTTTGAAAATTTTGAAACACATTTATTTAGAATGAGGGGAGGCTTGGTACCACTGGCATGCTGGTACTCCGATTATTTTGTTCCCAGAGGGTACCAGTTATTTTGTTTCTATGTTGAATAAGTTTTACTGATGGAAAGCTGATCAAGGGCAAGCTAGTACTTGTCTAGATTGGGATTTTGCTTTAAGCATTAAACAAATCAGATTTTAAAAGTAAAGTTTAACTTATATCCCCTTTTTGATGTTATAAAATACCCGATCTACTGGCATACATTATATACAGCAAGCTTTTACTCTTAATAATTGTGTATCAAGCAATTTATATTCTACTTCTATTAAAATAAAATTTATTAAGTAATTTATCATTACTTTGTTTTTTTTCTTTTCTTGTTGGACTTCAACCATCTTGGTAACCTTAGAGCAAATTACATATATATGTGTATACACACACACACACACACACACACATATGTACACACACTTCATTGTACACATTTTATTTCAGTAATAGTAAATAAAATGAATTTTTGTCTTATACTATTATTTATGAAAAGTTTATGCTCATTTCTAAATTATCTGATGCCAAACATTTAGGTTTTAGATTGTATCTAGTTTATCTTCTCTCTTGCCCATCTTGTCTACAATAAGCAGTTAGTAGATAATTTAAAACAAACCTGTACTAGAAGTTCCTATTTAGAAAAATCATATAGGAAAAACAAGATTACAAGAATGTAGTACTTAAAAAGTTCTGGATGTAAAATATTGGGGCAGTGTATGAAAGGAGTAATAAAAGCTTAAAATCTAAGGTTTTGTATAAACCAGACTGGAAGAGTTTATCACAAATATTTAAGAATCATCATCACACATTAACATATCACAACTAAGCATTTATTATAATGTTTAAGAAGGAAAACAATTGCAGTGGCATTTCAGAAGCTATATCTTTTTTAAAATGTTATATATGCTTATAGACTCTAAACATTATTTTAAAATATACAATCTCTCCAAAAGAAAATATTCAACTAAAGATTAGATAACTTTTAATGTAACTGAATTGTTACAAGATTTTAAAATCAAAGTCATCAGATTTTTTCACAACACAGAGTACAGAAATTTGTAAACTTCCTGTACAGAGTAGTATAATCTCTACTCTTGAGCAAGGCGTTCAATAACACGTCGGTAATCTTCCACAAGTTCCTGAAAGCTTTCTTCCAGCTGTTCATGTTGCATGCTTATTTCTATTTGGTTCATCTGGTTTGTCAGTTCTTCTGGTCTGAGACATTTTCTCATTTTAGCAAGATCTCTCTGCTTTTTCTAAACAACAAATACAATTACTGGTTAGACTAAGAAAGCTGATATGCCCAAATCTGTCTCATAGTTTTCTTCAAGGAAGCCTAAACATAATGTTAACCATGAAAGGGCTAACCAAGAGATCTGGTATGCCTATCAATGAACAATAAATACAGAGATGTAATTAACAACCCTCTCTCCAAAGCATAATAATGTACAGGCACTCAAATGTTAGTTTAATAATAAAATGTATTGACTAAGGAAATACAACTAAGATTAAGTGCTATTATGCTTCATTTCAGTACTTAATCAATTTTTAATTCCAAGCTGAATTTTCCTGACACTATGTTCACTTATAGATCCCTTACCCAGTGATATTTTTATGGATCATACATTAATTTTAATGTGAACTGTTAATGAGTTTCAGAAAGAGAAACCAAAAATGGTAACATTTTTATTTATTAGCACATATTAATTATTGAGCTTCAGACTATGTTGTATTATTAAACACTTCCTATTTTACTAAGATGGAAACCACCATGCTGAGGAGTTGTAATGAGGAGTCCAACTTTTAGGCTGGAGATTGTTTTACAACAATACTGTTAGTAATCCTGATGGAACTAAAGGAATATGTTAATCATTACTGTAAGAGTTCAAGTGAGAGATAATGAATACTTAGATCAAGTCAGTTAACAGCAAAGATGGATTGATGGATGGAGGAGGGGACAGGGCAGATATAGGGGAGAAAATATTGGAAGACTGGGGAAGGAAGAATGAAGACAGACTCCAAGGTTCCTTGATGGGTGGCAACACTGCACTATATGAAACTTTCATATGTTTCAGGTAAGCCATTCTAGAATATTATATCAATCCTCTTTTATTAGAGCACATGATAGCTAACCTTACACAGAGATAGGAAATCACATATATTAACTCATATAATCCTAACAATTCTAGGAGATAGGCACCATAATTTTATCAAGTTGATCAATGGAAAATAAGGAATATACGAGTTTACTAACTTATAGTAAACTGAGAAGACAGGATCTAAATTCTAAAGGTTTGAATTGAAGTCTATATTCTTAGTCCCTACATTTAACTTCCTTACAGAAGACAAAAACCCTAAAAAACTAATAAAAAAATGCCTTAAAAGGACCTTTAACAATTTTAGATTATTGGGCGAATATCATGATTGTTCCTTAAAAAGCTCAAAATCAGGCTAAATTTGTAATCACATAAATATTTCTAAAACAAGAAAACAAAATTTGGAGGTTAAGTCCTTACTGAAGTTACGACACTACCAGAAACAAACAAACAAAAAAACAGACCTAAATTCATGGGGCTAAGTAAATGAAACTAATCAGAAAGAAAAATCATTAACCTCATTGATATAAAATGTCCCCATTAAAAACTGTTTTCATTTGGAGGTTCCTCAAGTTGCTTAACATGGAGCTTCCCTATGACCCAGCAATCCCACTCCTAGGTATCTACCCAAAAGACACAAAACCACTGATTTAAAAAGATACCTGCACCCCCATGTTTACTGCTGCTTTATTTACAATTGGAAAAACATGGAAGCAGCCCAAATGCCCAAAAGTAATGACTAGATTAAAAAGATGTGGTACATATACACAATGGAATATTATTCAGCAACAACAAAAAAAAGAAACACATGTCTTTTGCAACAACTTGGATGGAGCTGGAAAAGATCATGCTTATAAGCATGGTGAGATAAGCCAGAAAGAAAAAGAAAAATACCGGATGGCTTTGCTCATAGCAGAAGTATAATGGACCTGGCGAGAAAATAATAATAATGAACAGCCATATACCAGAGACATTTTGTGGGGGTGGAGTGGGGAATGGGATAAAAAATGGGGGGGGAGGGGAAGGAAGTGTACTGGACTATAGTGATGGCATATGGGTGACTTGGTAATGGGAAACTCACGGGGATTACAATTGAGACAAAAAAAGGAACAAAATGATGTAAAAATAAACTATAAAAAAGAAGTTTTCAAATTTGATATGTATACAGATCACCTGGAAATTTTGTTAAAATGCAGGTTCTGGTTCAGTAGGTAGGGATAGGGTGAGATCTGCATTTCCAGCAAGTTACCAGGTGATGTTAACGCTGCTGATCTACTGACCACACTGAACATTAGTCCTAGAGAACTGATGGGAAGGTAGGTGTATTCCTTCTAAGTCCTGGAAGGACTCTTTGATCATGTGGATGATAAACACTTTGTGTTCTAATTTTCCTGCCAAAAGGTATAGTCAAACCTCATGGAAGAGCATCTAACTTGAGTAAACAGTCGAGTGACTAAAGGGTCAAGTATTAAAAACTATTGTGCTGTGTGACAGAAGTATAAACTATTTTTCCTACTACTAGGAGTTGTAACATTTATTAAATAACCCACCGCTTGAAGATGCCTCCAATCATATTCAATTCTTGTATGTTATAGAACTATCATATTAAGTTCTTAAATATTTCTAAACTATCGGCTGCTTCAAATAACCTTAGAATGAATTGTGCCAATACATACTGTTTTGAAATGTACTGTTTTTGTAATCCCTAAGCTTACTGCCCAGTTTACCTCCCATTCCTTACCATCTTGTTTCTTCTTTGTCAACCTTTTTCTGATATGTCAGAATTTATCTCCATTGTATTTTTATTTGCATGACAATAAATCTCTGAATTAAATTTAAAAGCTTGAAGTATACCTAGGAATAAAAATGTAGTAGCTTTATAAAAAATTGAAAACTATATGTGTATATATGTATGTAATATATTTAATGTATGTATGTATGTAGTAAGTTCCTCACAGCAAGTAAATTGTGGCTCAATTTAAAAAATAAGTTGAGGTTTTTGTTTTATTAATCTTCAATCAAGTTATCTTCAAGTAATGGGTTAAGTTACTTAATGAATGTTGTAACTACTAGTAATGTAGAAAAAATAGCTTCTCCTGTCACATAGCACAATAGTTTGTGATGCATAATCCTTTAATTTCTGAACTGTTTCAAGTTAGATGCTCTTCCATAGGGCAGTCATGCCTCTTAGCAGGAAAATTAGAACACAAAGCATTTATCATCTATATGATCAAAGAGTAAGGACTACACTGTCTGTCCTCCCAGGTCTTAGAAGCAATACATATGACTTCCCATCAGTTCTCTAAGACTGATGTTCAATGTGGCCAGTAGATCAGCAACATTAACATCACCTGGCAACTTGATGGAACTGCAGGGCCTCATAGCACCTCATTTCTACGGAATGAGAGAACCTGTATTTTAACAAAGTCCCCAGGTGTTCTGTGTGCACACTCAAGCCTGAGAAGCTGTTCTCTAGAGGGGCATATATGAGTATTATACATTTATCTTTTATAGAATATATTTTTAAAAAAGAACTTAATAAAGGGCCTCCCGTGTAGCTTAGGGATTAAGTCCCAGCACTATCAACACTTCGGCCTGAGTTTGATCCCTGACTAGGGAGCTAACCTCCATGGTGCTGCAGACCTTCTCTATCTCATTTGCTGCTCTCCTTAGCAGTGTATTTCAGAATGTCTACCTGTTCTGTTCCCCACTCTGTTTCTGATGAATTCTTTCAGCCTCCCCCTCCCATCTCTGGCTTATGTCCCACTTCTTACACACACACACACACACATAAATAAATCTCTTAAAAAAACAAGAACAAACAAACAAAAAACACCCAGATTTGGGGTACACCTCTATCCAGCAAATGACATTGAGAATACAAATGAAATACTGAAAGGTAGAACCCCGTAGTATTGTAATGGACATTCTATAGGTTTTAAAATATTTACCCCCTCCAATGTAAAAAAAAACTTAATTACTTCTAGATAAGGGCTTTGATAATTTTTAATGCAGACAAATTAAGATAATATTGTCAATTTATTAATATTAACATTTGGCTTAGATATGATTTTCAAAAAATAATCTTTTATTCATGCCTAGTTCACATTTTCCAAAAGGATTTTCAAATATAATTTCAAAAATGCTATATAACTCTAAGGGCTTATAATTTCCATCTTCTCAAATAGTTTCTTTTGTGAAGTACAGAGATAATGTTCTTTTGTAAGAATTTTAAAATGATGTGGAAATATATGATTCCAAAGACTTCTCCAAAAACATCTTTAATAATATATATACTGAACTGTATTTTTTTCCTGTTCAGTTCCTCTCTATGGAGATATTTTCATTCTATAGATGAGAAGCCTAATATCCAAATGTTAATAAACTATAGAAGCCATACAATTTGTTAAAGGACCTCAAAACTGGGTTTCTTGATTCCAAATGCAGTATTATAACAGTGATTCTAAATTCTATATTTTTAAATAAATTATGAATTTAAAATGCCTGTAAAACAAAATAGAAGCTTTAATGCTAAAACTAAGCAGCAGCATTATTTTTTAGCCAAATTGTTCAGATTTATCTTTTCTTGATGCCCTGAAAATTACTTCTGTACGAGATATACTTCCTTCTTATGCTTTAAAAAATGAGTCCAATAAATACAGGCTATTTTTATCTCTTTTTGGCACTGATACAAATTAACTATCTGTATTTAAAGAATTTTTTCAAGCAAGGTACAAGTGACTTCAATTTCTAACTAAATAATTTCTTAATGGGAGAGTATGTTTAAGTTGATATGTAAACTTGGTTCATCAAATAAATATAGCACAGAATTGGTGAGCTTTACTATCAATAAAAATTATTTCTTTCCTCAGTAGTATCAGTGAAAAAATATAATTTCTTTTTATAAAGTTTGTTAAAGTAATCGTTTTAATTTTACACTCCAAACTTTTCCCTTTGGCATACATTTTAAAGACCTAAAAATTTCTGAGCCACACTCAATATGAAACATGTTTTTTTTTTTTTAAAGATTTATTGGACGACAGGACAGGTCTCTGCACCATGTGGGTTAGCTCCCTGGCTGGTGATAACTTGAAAGGGCTGAGACTTTTAACCCCTATGCCACCAAACAGGTCCTCAAAATTAAAATATTAGTTTATTCTTACATATTTTGTATTTGACAATGCTGTGGGAACACAAAATACATGGATATTAGCTTGGAATGACAAAGTGGAGAAAATCATCTGCATACATTCAACAAAGAAATTGCTGTTATTCCTTCCATGCCTGTAGGAAATTTAACTAATCTTGGGCTTTTTTTTTTTTTTATTCATACAGAACTGGGGTACAGGCCAGAGATGCGGAAGGTAAGAGGCTTCACCAGAGACAGAGTGGGGAGCAGAACAGGCAGATCAACAAAGTACACTGCTGAGAGGAGCAGCAGGCGGGCCAGGAGAGGTCTGCCGCGCCATGTGGATCTCCTCGAGGGCAGGCGGGGATTGAACTCATGCGGAAGTGGCTTAACCTTCTTAGTGCAGTGCTTTAACCCACTGCGCCACCAGGGAGGGCCTTTTTAAAGTCTGTGATAGGTTTCCCATCTGAGGTATTTTAACTATCAATGTAAAATGTACTGGAGACACTCAAGCTTTCTTAGTTTTCTCAATGGAGTAGAATATTGGATAACTAAACTTATTAAAATGTACATTACTATAGATAGAGATTAAGCAAGCATCTGAAGTGTTGTAATGCATATGAGCTTTAGTTTAGTGTAGGGATAGTGATACCCATTTTGGCTCTTAGGGTCTTAAACACTTCAGTACCCAGTTTACAACTGTCTTTCAGATGGATGAACTTACTGGAAAGATAAAAGTAGTAATATAAAAATGTTATCATTCTTTAGGAGTGGAAAATACTTGCTTTACAAGTTATAGAAATTCTCACTATTTGGCATAAGTTGATGACTAGAATTCACATTTAACTATCATTCTCATTTGCTGTATTTGCTGTAAAAATATCATAAGTATCTGAAATGTGTAAGTCAATAAATCACTAAAAGGTTTAATATTTAAATATTGCCATGAAAAAAACTTAATTGTTCTACAAACTCAAATTTTATCATAAAGAAATTTTCTAGTAAACAATTATACTACTATTTAATAGAACTACTTAAGGATCAAAACTTCTGCCAACATTCTGATGTTTCTAAATTGATAAACACTCAGGAATAAAGTAGTACTTTGGATAATTTTTGATAAGAGAAACCATTATAATTTATTACAACCTGTTTGTTAAATACAGGTTTTTTAATGAATTGACATGAATATCCACTAATGAAAATAACACACACTATGAAGGGCTATGTATATAAATTCAAGGTAAAATGATTTATGGTCATAGTTAATTTTTTTTACATTCAGATGTGATATGTTGGCACAGGATTATGATGACAGATTATGTGCACTGAATTATCTGCACACACTATCTGCGCACTGAAAACTGGGTCATTCCTAATGAAATTCAGGTATACTGTAAGATGCAAGATGTTATAAAGGAAAAAAGTTACAATTCAAAAAGGAGTAGTGTGACCCAATGAATCAATCTGAAAAGACTTTTTATAAAATAAACTCAGTGTAAGAAAAACTGAACTATATACTTCATATGTTATTTATGCATTATTTTTCTTTCTCCTTAAATTTTAAAATAAATTCCAATTTGTCATTTATGTTTCCAATTACTGTACTGTATTAGTGTACAGATAATAGTATATATAAACATAAAGCCAGGTTACAAAATCAGAAAAACAATTCCATCTATAATCTTAACAAAAATAATATCTTAAGAATGAATTTCACCAAAGTGATGAAAGATTTGCACACTGAAAACTGGGACACTGGTAAAAGAAATAGAAAACACAAGAAATTTAAAGATTCTGTGCTATAGATTAACACAGAATTAACATAGTAAAAGTGGTTTTATTACCTAAAATAAACAGGTTCAATTCAATCCCTATCAAAATTCCAGAAGCATTTTTCATAGGTATAGTGTGAAAAATCAAATTTGGAATTAAGAAGGATTCCAAGTAGCCAAAACAATCTTATTACAAAGAAACAATAATCAGAACAATCTGGTACTAAATAACACAAAGATCAATGGAATTCAGAGCTAAGAAATAAACCACATAAGTATGGACAGCTAATTTATGACAGAGGATCAAGAGTAAACAATGGAATAAAGAAAATCTCTCCAAATGGTGTTGAGAAAACTGGGCAGCTAGAAGCAAAAGAATTAAGCTACCCAACTATCTTATACCATACACAAAATATATGATTCCAAATAAATTAAAGACTTAACTGTAAGATCTGACACCATAAAATACACAGAAGAAAACAAAAGGCAAAAACCTCCTTCACATTATGGGCCTCCCTGGTGGTACAAGGGTTTTTAAAGCGCAATACTAAGAAGCTATCAACAGCCACCACAGCACAAATTTGACCCCTGGGAGGTGACCCATATGGTACAGTAATCTCTCCTTTCTCACTCACTGCTTCCCTCAGCAGTCTTTTTCAGTCAATCTGCCTGTTCCCCACCCCTATTTCTGATGAATCTTCTCAACCCCCTCCCACCTCTGGCCTGTACCCCAGTTCTTGTATGCATAAATAAATAAATGTTTTTTTTTTTTTAAAACCCTTCACAGAAGCCTTAGAAATGTTTTTGGGCATTTGACTCCAACAGGAAAGGAGACGAAGCAAAATAAACAATGGAAGTGTATCAAACTTCTGCAGAGCTAAAGAAACAATCATTAAAACGAAAAGGCATCCTACTGAATGAAGAAGACATTTGAAAGCCATGTATCTACCAAAGGGTTAACATACAAAGTATACAAAGAAATTCTGCAAATCAACAAGAACCATCACATTAAAAAAATGTGTGAAGGATCTGAATAGACACCTCTCCAAAGACAACATACACAGGGTCAACAGCCAAATGAAACTGTGTCCATCATCTCTTATTATTAGGAAAGGCATGTCAAAATGATGAAATGTCACTTCGCACCTGTGAGAAAGGCTGTTACCCAAAAGATAAGAAATAAGGGTTAGCAAGGATGTGAAGGAAGGGAATCCTTGGTGGGAATGTAAACTGTTACAGCTATTATGGAAAACAATATAAAGAATCCTTAACAGATTAAAAATACAAATACCCTATGATGCAGATACTCACTTTTGGATATTTACCAGAAGAATACAAAAACATGAATACAAAGAGATTTATGTACCACCATTTCACTGTAGCATTGTTCACAATACCCAAGACTTGGAAACAACCTAAATGTCCACCAGTAAGTGACAAGATAAAGAACATATATTAGTAATACACAATGTTAATACAACACTATTCAGCTATAAAAATAAGATGAATTCTTGCCATTTCAACAATATGGATGGACTGGAATGCACTATACTAAGTTAAATAAGGTGAGAAAGAAACTGTATGGTTTCACTCATATGTGAAAGATAAAAAACTAAAATGAGGGCCTCCCTGGTGGCGCAGGGGTTAAAGTCAGCACTAACAAGTTTTCAGCAGCCACTGCAGCATGAATTTGATTCCCCAGCCAGGGAGCTAACTCACATGGCACAGCAGACCACTCTTGTCTTACCAGCTGCTCCCCTCATCAGTATATTCAGCAGATAACACCTACCTGTTTTGCTCCCCACTCTTGTCTTACCCGCCTGTACTTCTGGCCTACACCCCAATTCTTCCATACATAAATAAAATAAATCTTTAAAAAAAAAAATTGGTGCAAGTGTTAAAACACAGCACTGCGAAGCTGGCTGCAGCAGCTTTGGTGAGGTGTGACTTAGTCCTGCCCCAAGGTAACCCACAAGGCACAGCAGACCTCTCCGGTCTCTCCTGCTGCTCCCCTCAGCAGTGTACTTTGTCAATCTGCCTGTTTTGCTCCCCACTCTGTCTCTGGTGAATCCTCTCATTGCCCCTGCACCTCTGGCCTGTACCCCCCCTCTATATGTATAAATATTTTTTTTAAATGAAATGAATAAACAAACAAAATATAAAACTTGGACCATAAGAACAAAATAGTGGTTATAGAAGGGGAATGGGTAAAGAGATAAGTCAGGTAAAAGAGTTTAACTGTATGTTGAGGAATTAAAACTAGACCTAGAAGTGGTAAACATAATAAAATATACAACTGTTGATTTATAATGCAGTATATTTGAAATTTATATAATTAAACTTATATAATCAATGTTACTTCAATAAAAGTATTTTAAATTGTAGCAACCACATGGTAGGTGCTTGATGATGATTTGTTGAATAAATTAGAAATATTCTTCCCCATTGGCTCAAGGTCCAGCTGCAACTATCATAGCAAGTCCTGTGCACACATGTTGGCATGGAATCATCTACCTTATAATGACCAAGTGATGATGATACCAAATCTGATCTGGAAGGGGAAATTTTCTAGTTAGAGGAAAATATAAGGGATTTTAGAGAGGGGGAGTAGAAGGGCAAGAACAATGAATGTTAAAAAGGGGGGAATAAAGAACACTTATGTTGCAACTTCAGCTATGGTAAATTATAGAAGTCACAAATGACAACTAAGACTATATTTAAAAAGAAAAGACTGAAAATACATGATAAATGGGAAGACAAAGAGAAGTGGAAAAAACAAACAAGGTGATTTCTCAGGGAAAACCCCAGGTTTTCAAAAAATTCACACACTAGAAAGGAAAAGCTGACCAGGACAGACTACCCTTGGGGTTAGTTTTGAAATTAATAAAAACAGATGTATAGGTTAGATTGGAAAATGATGACAATGATAATTTTTACAAGTAACTAGAAAATATCTTCACTTTTGTAAAAGTTAACTTAGCAGTGATTGGGACTTTCTCATACAGTGGCATCTGCTCACCTTTCTTCATATTTTAAAGAGTAAAAACAATAAAACACTTAAGACTTTTGAAAGTCCTACCTTATATGGGCTAATTAGTCTTCTTTTAATATCCAGTCGATAGCTTCTGTATTGTTCAGCATCACTCATGTCAGTTACCAGTAGTCGAAGAATTTCATAAACACGTCTAGCATGTTGCTAACAAATAAAACAACAAAATGACTATTTTCAAATCATAAAACATTTTCAACAGAGATACTGTCCAAAAAAAATCCCACAATATTAAGTAATTGTTATGGGCTAGGAATTATACTAGGTACTGCTTTATACTAAAGCAGTAAAATACAGTCTTAATCTCAATTAGCTGGTAGTGAAATGGGTATCAAATGGTTGAGTTATGATTATTTTAGTGATAGAACTATGCATGAGATATTATGGTAACAAAGCCTGGAAGTTAGGGAAATGTTAGAAGGATTCTTGGGGGAGTAAGGAGCACTGTGTGTATGTGCATATATGTGTGTGTGTGAATATGTATACGTGTGTAGAACAGAAGCAGTCTGATATTGTCAGATCATAAAATAAGGAGTAGTAGTGGTGTGAGAATGACGTAAGAGCAGAAAGCCTTATCCATTGAGCTTAACAGCTGGGATTTACCTCATGAGGTGACAATTTAAATCAAGGTGTGAGTCAAATGCACAGATTTGAGGTTTTTTTTTTTTTTTTTTAAGATTTATTATATTTGTGCATACAGAACTGGGGTACAGGCCAGAGGCTCAGGGGCGGCGAGAGGCTTCACCAGAGACAGAGTGGGGAGCAGAACAGGCAGATCGACGAAGTACACTGCTGAGGGGAGCAGCGGGCGGGCCAGGAGAGGTCTGCCACGCCATGTGGTCACTTCCGGGGCAGGTGGGAGTCGAACTCATGCGGAAGCGGCTTTAGATTCTCAATGCTGTGCTTTAACCCGCTGCGCCACAAGGGAGGGCCAGATTTGAGTTTTAAGTAAAACATTTTCTCAGCTACACAGAAATAAATGGTAGCAAAAAAGGACAGTCAAACTGATTATGAAGCTAAGCTACTAAAACAGTCAGAAAATGAGGAGGATATTAACAGCATAAGTAAGAATACCCAGGGAGCAAGGATTCTACAAATAGAAAAAAGGAACGATTGCCTAGGGAGGAGGGTGCAAAATGATAACTGTTCACAGCCAAGAGAGATTTAAGAATCAGGACAATATATACAATTAAGGAAATTCTAGTCTAAGGGTAAGTATTTAAGTACTATCAGTATATAGACAAGAGTTAAAACCGTAAGGTTGGTTAAGATCACCCAGGGAAAGCATACACAGTGAAAAGTGGGGACATTGAAAAATCCTGTAGTACAGTGACAAGTAAAATGACAGACAGAGGACACAGGAAAAAAGTCAAAGAAATATTAGAAACAGGATGTTTTAGTTTCACCGAAGCCAAAGATGTAACCTGAAGTTTTTAGTTTATGTTATTTTACTTACATTTTACTGGGGGGTAGGGAGGAGAGGTCAGTTTTATCTAGGTAGAAATTAAAAGATAATATTTAAACTTTCTTGAGCTAAGCCTGAAATAAATGAGTACTATCTGTCCAGAAGAAGATGGAGAAATGAAAGAGGTATTAGGAGCAAAGGGAATAGTACATATATAGGGAAGCAAAAGGAAGAGATATATGACAGCTGGCATATGTCAAAAGGTTAAATAACGTCAGAACAAATATGAAAATGGTTGGAAGTGGATGCTAGTTAGCAAGGTAGCCAGGGTCCAGATTATGATGGGCTGTGTGTGTCATACTAAGAAGTTTGAGTTCCTTTAAGAAAAAAATGTATTTAAAAATAATATTTTCATAGTCCCATTCTCTTAAAAGCTCAGTTCTTAAAATCTCATTTAATAAAGGTACAATATAATCTGGAAATATGAATTATTTCTAAAATATGTATCTTAAAGGCATGAAAGAGAAGAAACAACTCAAATTGAGTTGTTTATAGAAAACTTTTGATGTATAGTTTTGGAATTAAGAAGGAAAATCCAGATTAGAGATTTAGATGACATTTTCCTAGTAGGAAGGATAAGTAGGATGAAAAGAAATGATGAGGAAATTTGGGAAGAATTGTATTTAGGGAACATATATTAGAGTAGAAGCCCAGTGAAAGTATCTCAAAAAAGATGATCACAGTGATGAATGAAACACCAGGCATTTTTGAAACCTAGGGAGATGTAGTTAACAGTATCAAATGTTAGTGCTTATTACTGGGGTACCATCTAGCTCACATACTTGAATAACCCAAATCCTACCCATTCCTTCAAGGTTTAGATCATGTGAAATACTTTGTTTCCCTTCCTTGCATAATAAATCCACCTCCTTTAAACTCCCATTTTTTTTCTGCACCTAATTAAAGATATTTACTGCTTTACAATTCAAACAGAGACATAAATAAAGTGAAAATTTAAGTATTTTACTCCAACCCTTCTGCCACCGGTAGAGTCAGTTTCAGGGTATTACCTGCTTTACTAGTTAAAATAAATGTTTTCTTAAAAAGCAAAAATAAGATCCTACAATTCAGCTTTGTTCTGTTGTTTTTAATATAGCCATAAAATCTATTATGTAATTAAATCGCCCTAAGTCAGAGAGCAAGTGGTAAAGTTAGATTTGAAGTCAGGCAGTCTGACTTCAGAACTTGTACTTGAAACCACTGCTACTCCCCATGTATGTATTCTTAATGACACAAATAACAGTGTTTTAAGTCATATACTTTAATGGGAAAAAAAAGTTTAAATTTAAAATGTTTTCGACCCTCCCTGGTGGCGCAGCGGGTTAAAGAACAGCACAGAGAAGCTTGAGCCACTTCTGCATGAGTTCGATCCCCGCCTGCCCTGAAGGAGATCCACATGGCGCGGCAGACCTCTCCTGACCCGCCCGCTGCTCCCCTCAGCAGTGTACTACTTCGATCTGCCAGTTCTGCTCCCCACTCTGTCTCCGGAGAATCCTCTCACCTTCCGCATCTCTGGCCTGTATCCCAGTTCTGTACAAATAAATAAATAAATCTTTAAAAAAAAATTTAAAATGTTTTCCTTCTACAAAATAAAATACCTTGTTTATTTTGTATTTCTGTTGTGCCTCTACTGCCATACTTTCATTGAATCCTTGCATTAACTTTTCCCGGGAAAAACAGGGCAAGTCTTGGCAAAGCTTCACAAGCACAAAGTCTCTTAACTTCACATAACTTTTAGAAGGATCTTCCGCTAAAGAAATAAAGCAGAATAACATTTCCTTTACCCAACATAATTTCTTACTCATTTGCAATCTCAATATATGTTGCTAGAAAGACAAATAGTTTAAAAAGATATATACATAAACAAAAGTGTGAAAGGATTATACAATATACAGTTTATATATTATATATACAAAGTGAAAAGATTATTCTTATAAATCAAAGCACTGTTATCTTTGCTAAATAAAAATTATAGCTGCAATTTGTTTGCAAAGATGTTTAAATTATTTCTGTAATTAGTTACCTCTTTCAAATGTAAAACTTCTGACTAGGGTTTTATTTTCAATTAGTTACATAAATGGCAGGTTCAAGTTTGGAAATTAATTCCAAAAGAAAGTGTTTTCTTATAGATAAGCATTCAAGGGTTCAATTTATAACTCTTAGTTTTATCTAAGAATCATTATAAACTGCTAGACTTCTTTCACCCAGTTTTATTTATTTATTTTTTATTAAAAAGTTTATTTTTACATCATTTTGCACATTTTTTTTTCCATCTCAATTGTAATCCCCGCGGGTTTCAGCCAGTTTTATTTTTTAATTTAGAAAATGAGTATATGATTTTGATGCTTTCTTCACTGCTTATGAATATAATAGATCTTTCTTTATGTTGTCTGTTATCTACATCAGCTTAAAGAGAGAATGAGGAAAACATCAAAACTTGATGGGTAAAAAGATTACAGAGAACATGACTTTGAGGTCTTCTTGTATCATTCATAGATGCACAACCTTGAACAAGTAACCTTATTCTCGAAGTCCTTGTTTTTCTGATCAATAGAGGCCTTGAAACAAAGAAATCAAAGTATGAGCTACATCCTAGCTCATAAAACTTAAACTCTTACATCAATACTTTACCAATTACTCAATGTAGTCCCTATAAAATTCTCAGCTCGATTTTTGTCCTTGTAGAAATAAACAAATACTCTAAAAATTTATGGAATCAAGAACAGCCCATGAGTGAGGTTTCCAGTATCTGCCCTTCCCTACTTCATTCATAACCACCTGACCACACCAAGTACCTATTTTTAACTCCACCCAGTGATCATTTCAAGAAACTTGTTTATTCTTCTGCAGAAACTAGGGAAAACATGGTCCACAAATCCAACTTATGTATTTGGCAGATTAACTATGATATTGTTATGGGTGAAAAAAGGCCAACTAAGTAAATAAATCAAGTTACAGTAAACTAATCAAGATAGTGTGGTGTAAGGATAGAACTAAAAATCATTTAAAAATCAGAAATAAACATTTACATTTATGGTCAATGTATTTTTTTTCTTTTTTAAAGACTTATTTATGCATTCATGTATTTTCTTCTTTTTTAAAAGATTTAATTATTTATGCATACAAGAACTGGGGTACAGGACAGAGGTGGGGGGATGGGAGGGAGGTGTGAGGATTCACTATAGACAGAGCGGGGAGCAGAACAGGCAAACTGACTGAAATACATTGCTGAGGCAAGACAGGAAAGGTCTGCAGCACCATGTGGGATACCTCCCTCACTGGGAATCAAACTTGTGCTGCAGTGGCTATGGATAGCTTCATAATGCTGTGCTTTAACTCACTGAGCCACCAGGGAGAGCCTGGTCAACAAAAGGTACCAAAGCAATTCAGTAAGGGAAAGGATAGTCTTTACAACAAATGATACTGGGACAATTGGATAACCACATATAAAAATATGAATTTAGAAACTTATTTCACATCAGACACAAAGATTAAATCATAGAAATCTCAATGTAAGAAAATGGGGATGGAGGCCGACTACAAATGGGCATGAGATTTTTTTTTAAAGATTGATTTATTTTATGTATATAGAACTGGGGTACAGGCCAGAGGTACAGGAACAGTGAGAGGATTCACCAAAGACAGAGTGGGGAGAAGAACAGGCCAACTGACGAAGTACACTGCTGAGGGGAGCAGTGGGCGGGTCAGAAGAGGTCTGCCGCACTAGGTGAGTCACCTCCTGGGCAGAGATCAAACTTATGCTGAAGTGGCTTTAGCTTCTTAGTGCGCCACCAGGAAGAGCCCTAAAAAGATGTTTTAAAGTAATACCAGATGAGGGAAAGCTTGTCAATTTTTCTAAACTGGTCTACAAAAAGAACTATTTTCTTAATGTCAATTTAACATAAAACTTAGTATGAGTTAAATTAAGTAACTAATACACCCTCAGAAAAGTTTAGGGAAAAAAAATTAAGAAAAAAATTAGAACCAAGGTAATCTAAAAACTTATGTCACAGTTGGGCCCTCCCTGGTGGCACAACAGGTTAGGACACAGCACTGCAAGCTAGCCACAGCTGCTTCAGTGAGAGTTCGATCCCCAGTCTTGGAGGTGACCTACATGGCACAGCAGACCTCTCCTATCTTGTCCACTGCTCCCCTCAGCAGTGTACCTTGTCAATCTGCCTGTCCTGCTCCAAACTCTGTCTCTGGTGAAGCCTCTCACCGCCCCTGTACCACTGGCTTATACCCCAGTTCTGTATGCATAAATAAACAAATCTAAAAAAAAAAAAAAACAAACTTATGTCACAGTTATACGTAAAATTTGCACATAAATTGAAAAATATGAAAAAATGTTTCATTTAGCTATATGTATGTGTATGTGTGTGTGATAGATCTCTCTGTGTATACATATATCTCTCTTTCAATGAAGTGCCATTAGTTTACATCCTTGTTAATTTTTTTCCCAATACAGGATTTCTCCCTTTAAGTGTGGTCCCTATAGTTCTTCCACCACCAAATCAAAGCACCCATAAATAAAACTCCGTAATAAGTCCATTGTGTTCCTCCCTTCCTCTTTTCTCCCTCCTCCTGCTTTCCTCCTGGATGCCTCAGATTTGTAGTGAGTTTTCAAATTTAGCTTTAAATAAGCCACTGGAACACTGAAAATATTGTTGATAGCTTTAAAAGGGGCAAAGTCACCACTCAATCTTTAAGCACTTTAATTAAAAGTCTCAGCCTGAAAAAGAACTTAAAATGGTGACATTCAATTATTTCTGACATCCTTCTTTTTTTCCTATGCTGTAAGGATAAGCAGTATACTTACAAGATAACCTGCTGGAATATTAATTTACAATGGTATGTGATATCAAAATTGAGTATTTGCTCATATTAAATATATCTAGCAACATAAATACTCTTAAAACATGAATGAACTGCATTAAAGAAAAATTATATTTTGAAAAGAAATAAGACAGCATAAACTCAGTATAAAAAATTTGCATATAATATTCTAAAAACTATATAACATATTCTAGAACAGTAAGGAAAATTTAAAGGACATATGTAATTAGCATTAAATATACTGCTGATAGATTTAATAATACTGAGATATATACAGATATATCTTAGTAGCCTAAGATCAATTTCTATTGCCAAATGTAATTCTTCTAGAGGAAATAATGTTTGACTATTAATTGAGATATATTCAAATGTTATATACCTTAAGATACTGACATCATAAAAGATGGTACATGATATAAAGAACTATCTTCCAGCATCTTAAAGATATGTGCTAAATAAAAAAGAAAATGGTTGGCAATTACACCACAAAAACATATCCTTTAACCGAGGCCCTCAAAGGAAGTTTAATTACTACTATATCTGACTATATGTCAAGTAAGCAAAAGGGCATCTCAGTAAAATACATCCAAGATTGCAAAGGGACATCAAATGTCTACTAAAAGGCAATAAAAGTTAAATAAATATACAAAATAAATGGAGACTAAAATAACTAAACAGTAGGAAATTCTGTAATTTTTAGAGATATGAAAACCCAAGAGAAATAATGAAGACAGCTGATAAAGCACTTTTAGTAATTTATAATACTGAGATGTTAATGTTAATACTGAAAATAAAGGTCAATACCCAGTTCTAAGATCCTGAAGTCCTTTAGTATGTTTATCCTTTTCTCTTACAGACTTCAGTTTGCAATGAATAGAGACTAACATTATGATGACTCTTTACTAAGATTTAAGAAATAAAATTCTTTATCTGCTAATCGGTACTATGTATCAAGGACTTCACTGGCTGGAGTAGTCAGAAGAAAGTGGCTAAGAGGCTTCATAGAAACAACCCCTGCTGGCACATTACCCACTAGAAAAGACAAAAGACTACTTATATGAACTCTAAATCTCCTGACTCAAATCACCAAAAAGAAAGTTGCTTCATGTAATACTAAGTCCAAGTTCTATAACAGAAGCTTAACAATTTTCAGCTTAACTAAAAAAGTGTTATCATTTGCACTGTTTTAATAATTTTACAAATCACTAAGTGAAGGTGTCACAAATAATTTATAACTTGATAAAAACTAAATTTAACTACTTTATCTCCTGAGTTTTCAAACCATTTGATGGTAGTAGGAAAGTCAGATGAAAAGATAATTCAACTCTAAACCATGAAATTTCCCTTTAAAGACAACACAACATGTTTTCCCTCCAATTAAACTACAGGGCTAGTTCAAAATCTGTTTGGAGTATTTTTATTATCCTAAGCAAGCAAAATCACTACATTCTGAATTACTATCCTATGCATATTACTACACACCCATTCAATATTTTGGGGTTTTGGTATCTTTAAACAAATCGATAAAATTCCACAATAGTACTTTTTAAAACAGTTAAAAATGTATTAAGTAAAACAGTTTTAATGACATATTAAAAATTTTATAGAATAAAATTCAATCTCTGATTTGGTCATAATAACTGGCATTTAAAAAAAAGTGACTTTCAATTTAATCAGCAAACATTAGGAGTAATATATTTGAAACAGGCAGAAGAAAATGACAACATAAATGTCTTTGGGTCACTTTATTCTGTTAATTCCCAAATTTTTTACATGGTATCATCTGTAATTCCTGAAGTGACTTCTCCATTTAAAGAGTAGTCTCCTTTCTTTACTTCAGCACCCCATTCATAATATCACTTTTATGGATAATTCATACTGAAAGACGTTTCTAAAACAAATAGATCTATATTTCATCTTATAACCTACTGACATGAATGCACGACTTTTAGAAATATAAAACACATGCTTCAATAAATGTATATTCTACCTAGGAACTACTTACTTCGGTTATTTTTTTATCAGTAAAGTCCAAACTGTTCTGCTACTATATGAAGAGAGAGCACTAGTAGTCTGCCAAACAAACTGAGGAAATAAGTTATATGGCTATGTAAAGACTTTTATCACAATATATATCCAGTTCACCATCTGCAATTTCTTCACTTTAATAAGCACTTTACACCTAGAAAAACAACCCAATCCACAAAGATTTAGGATATAATATATAACTTCAAGTCATCTTTAGAAAGTTCAAAACAGGCCCAGAACTCAGAAAGCTGCTGTTTATTGAATAGTTATTTGAGAAAAACAAAATCTATCAGGTAAGAGTTTTAGAAAATTTTTCATAACATTGAAACTTACGTACCGGTAATGTCAAGCACAGAAGGAGATGCAATGTAGTATCTGTGAACAGTTTCAAGAAGTTGAGCACCATGGCCTTGACCTTGAAATGGAGTCAATATCAGCATCTGACTATAATAAAGAAGTTATTTGAAAATTAAAATATTATAACATGACTAGCTTAAGAACTGCAAATCATTATAGTATTATGAACATTTTAAAGTTTGTTTTTTATTTCAATCAACCTTCAAGAAATCCAAAAAATTTTGAGATATTCAGAATTGGTTTAATCTTCCACACTTTCAAAGAGAACAATGAAATAAATCAGTACATAGTCAATGAATAATGGTGATTTTTTTTAAACAAATCAACACTATTATAACAAGTATTGGAAACTTCAGCAGTTCCTTCTTCTGAAATAAAAGACAAGGCACGTGTTATACTGCCAATTACCTTACACGTGGCCGGGTTTTGTCTGGGTACACATAGTAATTATAGACTGTCATGTAGCCTACGGTCGCAAAGAGCGTAGCTCCATCCTTATTATACTTCTCAAATCTGCAGATAAAACAGAAAGCCAAGCAGGTCAATTACAGTCGCGCTCCCATGCAGTGTCCATTTTCTTTTCCATTCTCTGACTGAATTTTCAGTGTCAGCAAGCTACTCTGTGAGGGCCCAATGGGTACACCTGCTATGTTCTGAATGTACAATTCACTTAATTGGTGTGCAGCAACTTGGATAAATCAGACCTCTTTACATCACTTCAGTGCACTTGCCTATTATAAAGATGAATAGGTGGCAAGTAAAAGAAAACACAGGCAAAGCTCATTTTACTGTTTAAGCCTACATTCAGGACCCTAACGGACAACAGCATTTAATTCAGCTCTATTCTCAAGGTCCCCCAAAGCATAATGAAGGAAAACTCAAGCCTCATAAACAATAGTTTTTCTTTCCTGGGAAAAATATCATTATACTGTCCCAATAATTGGGCTGCCACAATTAAAATGCTGGCTTTGTGGAGGTAATAAGGTCTACTGTTGCTTTAGAACTGTACTTACACTAGAAAGTAGTGCCATCTTTCATCATCCACGTCAATAAAGCTAGCAGTTTCAATAAACCACATCAAAAAGGTTTGAAGCCTTTCATGATATTCTCGAAAGCCTCTACATGTCATGTCAGCCTAGGGAAAAAGCCAGGAAAAGTCAGGTGAAACTTATCACAGAAGTAAGTTGAAAGTCTGTAAGACAGAAGACTGTCCTGTGGGAAATTGTTTAGAAACCTCAGATTAAGATGTGTACATACAAACACATACACATCTGTTTTTAATGCTGACAAAAACTTGTTTCTTGAAGTTAGAATAAATCACTGCAAATAATACAACAAAATATAAAACCTTTAGGCAAAAGCAATTTTACCTAAGAAATATTTAGATTTATCTTTACCTTGTATATTTGAAAGGTAAAATTTTCTCCTGTTGGGCTGAGAACAGAGTATGTATGGAGTAACATCCCAAATGGCTTGAAATCCACTTCCTTTTCCAGCAAAGAAAGAAAATCAATCGTGTTTGTGCAAAATCCAGATGGAATGATTTGTCTAATTTTGCTCTCAACATCATCTGCCTAAGAAATAGAGGTTAAAGAACATAAGGAAAAAAATAACCATTTTATGTTCAACTATTAGTTGAATATATTTAATTTCTTTAAATTAAACAACCCCATTTTGTAGTTAAACTAAAGATGCAACTAGGAAAAGATGTGTTTCATGTATAAAACATACTGCCACACAAATCTGAGATGAGCATAAGTCAAAACACTATAGAAATTTTAAAAAGGAGGTTGATAGCCTGAAATCAAGTGTAACAGTAAGGGTAGCACCACCAAAATTTCTAAAATCATGTAGAAAAAGCTGACCAGATCCTTTAAGGATAATCAGAACTGGCAAAAACAAAAGGGTACTTATTATTTTTTATGTGTCAAAAGGCCATACTATCCAAGACATGAAAGCATTAGTGAGGTGAGGCTAGAGTCTGATCAAATGAATAAGAACCTCACAATAAATAAGGAGACAGGTCATAACTCCCTTATACACTTAAAAATTAAGGTCATAATTTAAAAAATATACCTACTTAGGAAATACATAAATTATATGAATGGATGTATTATCTACTCATCCTTATAACGGTGACACAGTTTTTATATATTGAATTTGTGACGGTAAAGAGAGACAAGCCTGGACAACAAAATTAAACTCAGAGATTAAAATTACCCTTGTTAAACAACCTCGATGAATGTTAAAACTATCAGCTGAACAGACTTCATAATCCTTTTCAAAATCCCAAAGGCCACTTGATTGAATACATTTACTACTTCTCTTTAACCATGAATATTTGATGAAGTCTTACAATAAAGTATTACTGCTTCTCACCAGGCAATAAAACTTAATGAATTGGTCTCAACTTAACAAAACCTTATCCTTCAATACAGTCCCTAAAAGCCTGACATTACATTCAACAAAATGAGCTTGCATTCTATTCAAACTTTCTCCTGAACAATGGAGCCAGGTTTTTACTTAATGGAGTTTGCCGTGAGTTCAGCTGTAATGTTTGTATTGTATCTATTTCCACAAGGACTGACACAAGAACACTTTGTGTTAACTTACTAAGCAGCTCTTTCATACCGTTTACATGCATGATGGGTATTAGTTCTAAACCAAGACCCTTGCTACTTAGCATTCAAAACAGGGAAATTAAGATGCTTAGGACAAAATATACTACAAAAGGCTAATACAACATGCTACTAATTCCTGTCCTTTCAACCATCTTTTAACTAAGTAGAAGCAATGCACCTGCAGATGAATAGCACTTTATTATTATTCAGTTACATTTCAGAATAGAGAACTAAGGATGGAGTTTATCACAAACAAGTTTAATTTTCAATGCTTTGGTACCACCAACATTTATATATAACTTGTTTATAGCTACAAAAAAAAAAGTGCTATTACTTAAAACATAGCTTTTTGCCCAAAAGCTTATTTCTAATATGTATTCCAATCATTGCAATCCATTCACCATCAAGATCAAATAAAATGCATTTGATGGGACTATTTTTGCTTATTTTTAAGATATTATTTGATATTTTTTCCTAGAAAATGCTATCTAACCATCTTCAGCATATTTTACAGAATCTGTACAATTTCAATAATTACAAGAGGAAATTGTAGTAATACTGTACCATTTTAATAGGACTGCTACATGGCAAATAAAATCCAAAGTAATAATGGGTAAAGCAATCAATTTATTTATAAATGGCAAGAAATCCTATTTTTAAATAAAAAGGTTTAAAATTTATCAGTTTAAAAAACACTTCAAGACATTTATAGTGTTTATTATTTTAACCTTTAAAAACTTGTTTTCTCAACAAGGCATTGCAAAACAATTAACTTCACATATCTTATATCACATGTACTTCAAAGATTTCTTAGAAAATCTAAGTTTCAGGTTTTCAGAAGTAGCAGTTAATGGTAAAACACAGAGCAACCCAAAAATTTGAGCTGAGGCCCTCCCTGGTGGCGCAGAGGGTTAAAGCACAGCACTGAGAAGCTAAGGCCACTTCCGCATGAGCATGAGTTCGATCCTCGCCTGCCCCAGAGGAGATCCACATGGTGTGGCAGACCTCTCCTGGCCCACGTGCTGCTCCCCTCAGCAATATACTTCATCAATCTGCCTGTTCTGCTCCCCTCTCTGTCTCTGGCGAATCCTCTCACCCTCCACATCTCTGGCCTGTACCCCAGTTCCATATGAATAAATAAATCTTAAAAAAATAAAATTGAGCTGAACACTTGAAAGAATGCAAATGTTTAAAATTTTAGCTTTCAAAGGATAGCTATTTATTGTAATAAGTACCTTCAAATAATTATTTTGCACTGAGTAACTTTACATATTAATTTTTAAAAAATACTTATTTATTCATACAGAACTGGGGTACAAGCCAGAAGTGCAGGGGCAGTGAGAGGCTTCACTAGAGATAGAGTGGAGAGCAGAAAAGGTAGATCAACAAAGTACACTGCTGAGGGGAGCAGTGGGCAGGTCAGGAGAGGTCTGCCATGCCATGTGGATCACTTCCCACCTCCGGGGCAGGGGACTGAAATCATACTGAAGCGGTTGCAGCTAGCTTGTAGTGCTGTGTCCTACCCCACTGCACCACCAGGGAGGGCCCTACATTTTAATTTTAAGTGGATTCTTTAAGGGGAAAAGGATCCTATAACTATCATGTCTTAGCATTTGCACTTTTCTCTAAAAGAATAAATATATCGATTTTTTAAAGATTTATTTATTTATGCATACAAGAGCCAGAGGTGTGGAGAGGTGAGAGGATTCACCAGAGACAGAGTAGGGAGCATAACAGGCAGTTGTACCAAAATACACGCTGAGGGAGTCAGCAGGTAAGACAGGAGAGGTCTGCTGTACTTTGTAGGTCTGCTCCCTGGCAGGGGAATCCAACTCATGGTGCAATAGCTGCTGATAGCTTGATAGTGCTGAGACTTAACCCCCTGCGCCATCAGGGAGGCCCCAAGAATAAATAATTTTCTTCAGTTAAACATTGTTCATTTTTTGCACTGGATTACTGGCCAGGTAATAAAATCATCACCACAGAAAAACCAGTCTAATCTTTTTTAATTGAATGTAGAATTAAAGATTAACTGAAACCTTTTAGTTCCAAAGCTTGTGGTTGAAAGTTTGAATTCTATTTCTGAAGAGAAAAAGTTCCTATATTCAAGAGTATTATTCTAAAAGTCAATTAAAATTATATGAATATATAGTTACAGAAAGGATAAGAAATAAACTGATAGATCAAGAATCCAGAATACATGACATATTAACATACCTTGCAGATGCTGTCCTAACATTTGGCAATTTCTTTTTTAAAAAGGAAGGTAAACATAACTATACTGTGCCAGGTGAGTCATAATGAAATGTTTTAGATTATATACTTGTCTCACTATGGTGGCTTCAACTGAAGATGTTTGTATGTGGCAATTTTTGCTTCTCCTTATCACTGCATAAAGCAATATATCTGGGAATAACTTGGTAGTCTGCTGTAAGTATGTTTTCACTTATATTTGTATTTATACACAATTGAAAGCCTAATTACCTCTTTAGTGTCTTACCTTAAATAGCACCACTTGTCTAAATTTGTCTATGGTGAGTTATTTTTGAAGAAGCAATTTTAAAGGTATGTTAAGTAGGTGGTGCATGATGTCCTTTACTTGGCTAAAGTGGCAGGAATGTAGTATTAAAAATAATTCTAAGAATAACTAAAATATGCACAAAAATAAACAAATTCCATGTCTACTTAATCAAGCTATAGAAATTGGAGCACTGGCAGAGAAAATAACTGAACTTTTTCACTGCTGGAAAAGTATGTTTTATATTTACAAGAATTATGTCTTGCTAACTTGAACTCACAAACAAAATTCTATGATAAAATTTCAATATGTAATTTTAAAGCTTAAATTCAATGCATTTACATTCATAAAAAACATTACTCATTAAGAACATTGTCACAATTATCAAAAAGTAGTGAAATATTGCTAGTTTACTGAAGATTATTTTCCAAGACTAAATTTTTTAAGGTGCACAGTATTTTATCTAAGAAGCTAAGGAATTCAGAAAAAAATTCAAATTTGTTTTCATCTACTCTCAAATTCAATGCATAACAATGGGAAACAAGATAGATGACTGAAATTCACATATAAGACAAACCTTTTGTACTTCAAATTCCTCTATCCAACCTTCCCAGAAATGCTAGCAATGAGCAAAACTGAAAAAAACAATGACATTACTTCCCGGAGGGCAGGAGGGACTGCTAAAAGGTCAGTGACAACATGAGATGAACTATCAGCATCTGAATGATCTAGTTTGTATTAAAAATTTCAGAATTATGTTGCCTTTAAAGATGTCTGACTAATAGAGATATTATATAGGCATCTTAACTGTGACTAAATTTTTTAGGCACAATTAGAAAAGAATGAATGGATGTGGTGGCAAAATTCTAAAAAGCAAATTAATTCTAAGCATATTTGCCAAAGCTTCTGATGACTCAAAGGGTATTTTGTCATACACAAAAAACGCTGCAAAGCGTAGCCTACAAAACTCAAATATGACATGATAATCTCAAATCTAATATACCTGAAACAAAAATCGTGATTTTTTTCCCTCTTCTCTAATCTTTCCTATTTTAGTTAGTATTATCACTAATACTTAAGCAATAGGGTCCTCCTTGCGTGCCTTTCCCTTATTCATCACATTTAACTTAATTCAACAGCAAACCATTCAGGACTGTCTCCAAAATATTGTATCTCAATAAAATAAATAATACAGTATTGCCTGTAACTCTACAATGTTCTGTCTTCTTCTTTCACTCCTGCTCCTTATAGTGAATTCTCTGCCTAACAGCTAAGAATCAAATTTTAAAAATGTAAATCATAACACCCCTAACTACTTAAAACACCTAAGGCTATCACCAACTTTACCCCACAAGCTAGAACTTCTAGTTCTGCAAACCCTTTCAACTGTTTACCCTTCTCTCCATCACCTTAAAGATGTAATGACAATGAACTTTCTGCACTACAAAAACACAGTACTCTTAGTTCAGGGCCTTTTGCATATGCTGGTCCTTTCGTTTACTGAACTCTTCCCTCTGACTATTACATGGCTGACTCTTCTTCATTCAGAAACTAATGAAATGTTTCTTCATGACCTTGTCTGAATATAATTTGTTTATTATTTGCTTATTGACTCTTCCTCTTGACTAGAATAAAGCTCATGAGAACATGGACACTGTTGGCAACTATATCCCTGGCATGAAGAACACAGAAGCCATTGTGAAATGAACATTCTCACTGCAAACTGAAGAGTCAAGTCCATTCCCCCGACATCCACTATCCATTCTTCTTTTTTATAAGGGAGTGTAATTTACATAAATGGTCTTCAACCAAGAAATAAATAATCCTTCCAAAAAATCATAGAAGATTGATTATTCACTTCTAATATAGTACTTCTAAATGAAAAAAGCTGGTGTTAAAGAATGGAACAATTAGAAGTCAATGCAAATATGTAGTTATTTTCACTGCATATAGTATATTAATAATTATTTTCACTGCATATAGATTTATCAATAACTAAATCAACAGTTCCTTTAAGATATCAATTCAGCATTATCAGGTAGAATATTAAAAAAAAACCAGACTCTCAAACAACAGTGAATTTTATACAACAGAAGGAAAAACACTGCCTGCAATTTTAATAAGAATAACCAGCTGAGCTTGGATTAGAGAATTTTTTAATTAATAAAAATTCTGATTATGCAAAATTCCCATTTTAATAAATCTGTGATAAATACTAGTTTATCTAAAATTATCTTTTCAAACATCAAATTACCACAACTACAATATCACTGAGAATCACTTTTATATCTTTACTTTTATATACAAGCCACTGATTAAAACAAATATTGACTATAGTTATATATTATTTATCTGAAAAGCTTAGTCTCTCTAAAAGGGTTGGGAACTAGGAACAAAATGAAACAGGTATTCAAAATATTTAAGACACTGAAGTTGAATATCAAATATGAGAGACTACTTCAGACCTCCTTCATGCTATATATAATTCATTCTACAATTCTATGAAGCTTACCAATATGGTATTTTTTTACCTACAAGGGGAAATTGCTTGTCAGAGGAAAGCACCCCACAACAACAGCAGTAAGTTGGTAGATAATAGCATAGACTTATGGGAAGGGGTAAAAAATAGCCATTGAAAAAACAGAAATCAAAACTAACAAATACAAAAGCTGGGATACAAAACAAATCAAAACTAACAAATACAAATGGATACATTGAGAACACATTTAGAACACCTTTAAGTCTTTTATATATAGGGCATATACTACACTTAAGTAATCATCTCCGAGTACAATCTTGATAATTTTTAGTTATGACTTTGAGTAATCCCTTTACAATAAAGTAAAACAAATAATAAAAAGTACCAAATTAACCAGTTCAAGTAATCAGAAGAAGTTGTACAAAAAAGAATGTAGCATTAGGTTGGTAAAAGATGCAAAGTCAAGGACTAAAGTCAGTTTAAAGTTTTGAAAAGTTGGTTACGCTGATAATGCTTCAGGCACTGCTACTTCTAGAAAACAAAGTTATGATAATAGGTATGTAGTAATACTTAAGATCATCATTTCCTTTTTTTTTTTTTGCCTAGTTTTGTGTAGTACAGACTATCAGACTATTAACGACAGATCTGGTAAAACTTCCTGGAATCTTAAACCCCACAGAACAAGAGATTTTACTGTACGAATGCATTTTCCACTTTTATAAATGTTATTTGGTGATAAAAATGCATTCAATTAAAAAATCAACCGAAATAATTCTTGATGAAAAGTTTTATGCCTTTCAAAAGAAGGAAATTATGTGCGCATAAGTCTGAAAAGGGGTTAATTAATATACAGTATCTACAAAGAAATTTACAACTCAAAAAAAAAACCCAACCCAATCAAAAAATGGGCAGGAGCTAAAAAGACACTTCTCAAGGCAAAAAAAAAAAAAAGATACATACAATTGACCAATAGTGTACATATAAACAAAATGGTCATTATCATTTATGATTGGGGAAATGCATATCAAAACCACAAGGAGATACCACCTGACATCATAGATTGGATACTGTTATGTACATATATTTACTTATGGGTTTTCAGTTCTATTCCACTGAGCCATGTATCCACTTTTGTGCCAACAAAATGTTTTTTATTACTGTTTTGATGGAATGACCTCTATCAAACATACACACACATACACAAACCCAAGAAGTATTGGTGAAAATTACGGAGAAAAGGTGGGAATTTAGACTGGTGTAGTCCCTATGGAAAACAGTACAGCAGTTTCTCAAAATAATAAATTTGACTTACCTAATGATAGCGACAAGCAAAGAAAATTAAAGTCTAAAATCCCTGAATATCAAAGCAAAATTTCCAACAAAAATCATATGGCAGGCCCCCCAACCCTTGCCCAAGGGCAGTGGATAAAGTCTCAACACTATCAAACTATCACCAGTCACTGCAACATGAGTTCAATCCCAAGCCAAGGAAACAGCCCACATGGCACAACTGACCTCTCCTGTCTTACCCTCTGCTCCCCTCAGCAGTGTATTTCAGCATACCTGCTTATTCTGCTCCCCACTGTCTCTGGTGAGTCCTCTCACCCTGCACCTCTGGCCTACACCCCAGTTCTTATGTGCATAAAAAATTTTTAAATAGTATGACATTATCAATAGATGTAGAGAAAGTATAAGACTCATATCAATTTACAATAAAAACTCCAAAAAAGGGGAAAGAAACCTACACCTCAGTATAATAAAGGAAATATATAACAAACAGTTAATATAATAATTATGCAAAGATGAAAGCATTCTCTTTAAGGCTAGAAACAAAACAAGGAAGCTCATTGTCACTGCTTCGGTTTAAGTTAGTATTAGAGATTTTGGCCAAACCTCTTAGACAAAAACAAGAAATAAAAGAGAATTCAACTTGGAAAAAATATGAAACCATCAGTATTTGTATTTACATGTAATATATTACACACAGAAATTCCATGTATCTATTTTGGTGCCAATACCACATTGTTTTTATTACTGTTGCTTTATAGTAGAATTTAAAATTATATTCTGTGATACCTCACTTTTTTCTGAGAGCTGATTTTGCAATTTGGCTCAATTTCTTTGAAAAATATTGCTGATATTTTGGTGGGGTTTACATTAAATTTATATATCATTTTAGACAGAATATTCATTTTGATTGATTTTTCTTGTTTATACCTGTAGGATTTTCTTCCATCTCCTTATATGTCCTTTAATAACATCTGTATAGGTCTTTTATCTCTCTAGGTTAATTCCAGAGTATTTATTTCCTTTGGATGCAATTCTAAATTGCAATAATTTTCTTAATACCTATTGCTTTTTTGTTTTTATACAGTGAAAGAAAATACACAATTAAAAAGATACTAATACTACTACTAAATGGGACAAAATTTTCACATTATATTGGGTTGTCAGAAAAGTCATGATGCATACCCTCCCTGGTGGCGCAGCGGGTTAAAGCACAGCACTGAGAAGCTAAAGCCACTTCATTATGAGTTTGATCCCTGCCCCAGAGAAGATCCACATGGCAGACCTCTCCTGACCCACCCACTGCTCCCCTCAGCAGTGTACTTTGTCAGTCAGCCAACATGTTCTGCTCCCCACTCTGTCTCTGGTGAATCATCTCACCACCCCTGCACCTCTGGCCTGTACCCCAGTTCTGTAAATAAAATAGTTAAAAAAAAAGTCATGATGCATTGAAAACAATATGATGACTTTCTGACAACCCAATATGTAGCTGATAAGGGATTAATATCCAAAGTTTAAAAAAAAAAATCACAACCAAAAAAAAGAGAAACAACACAATCAGTGGGCAGCAGATCTGAGATATGAACAATTCCCTGAAGAAGATATCCAGAAGGGCACCTGCATATGTGAAAAAATATTCATCATCACTTTTAGTAAGAGAGATGCAGATTAAAACCACAATGAAATACCATCTCATATCCTTGAAAATGGCACATATCAAAAAGATCCCAGCCCTCCCTCATGGCACCACAGGTTAGAACGCAGCACTGCAAGCTAACCGCAGAAGCTTCAGTGTGAATTCGATCCCCAGTTGGGGAGGCTATCCATATGGCATGGCAGACCTCTCCTGACCAGCCTGCTGCTTGCCTCAGCAGTTTACTTGTTGATCTGCCTGCTCTGCTCCCCACTCTATCTCGGGTGAAGCCTCTCCCCCTCCCATACCTCTGGCCTGTACCCCAGTTCTGTCCACATAAGTAAATAAATCCTTAAAAAAAAAAAAAGATACTTGGCAAAATGAAAAAAAGCAAAACCAAAAATAATCACAGAATAAACCCCAGCATGAAACACTACATATACACAAAGACTAGTATAATAATAGGAATTTTATTTAAGAAAATCTTGTTTATGTATTAGGATGGTTTGAGTTAGCATTTTTCTTTCTTCCCTACTTGCAGCAGATTTTTGAGAATAAAGGATATTTGAAAGAACAAATCAATTTTTCTGTTCTTACCTCTACACAGTCAAAGTTCTCATCAACTTTAGATGCATATTCAACACGGAACATTGTTGACAAACTACCAGCAATGTAGTATAACAGGATCTTCAGACCCTTGTAACCAAAGGCAGTTTCTCTGAAAGGGGAGAAAACAGCAATAATATAAGAGTACAAAACGAGTCTTTGCAAAGTCATTACAAGATATTAATCCTGCATACAAACAGGTTTAACTTGTAGTTTCAAGATATTACAGTAAACTGGTTAAAAATATACAGCTGTAATAAAGCTGTGCCTCAACTTCCTTCATTTATAAAGAAAAAGAATGAAATACTTATCACAGGTATGCTGCTTAGGTTAAAAAGAGCAAAGTAATACAAGTAAAACCCTTTATAATAGTGATTGCTACACTGTACAATTACACAATATTGAACAATTTCTACCACTGCTACTGTTGCTGCTATTATAAAAAAAAAAAAATCATAGACAAATAGTGTTAAAATGGGACCAAGTTAGGCAGGCAACTAAGAAATAACCTTGGCCCAGTCCTTCCAACTTAGTACTCATTTTCATCACCAATATTCAGAGTTGCTAAAAGTGGACAGCACCTGTCTAGTTACAACTCTTTATGAACTCAGACAGCAGAACTGGAGCTACTAATTTTCCAACCTTTGCCCCTGCTATCTGCAGCCACTGCAGCATGAGCTAGATCCCCAGTCAAGGAGGTGACCCACATGGCGTGGCAGACCTTTTTCTGACCTGCTGCTGCTCCCCTCAGCAGTGTACTTCAGCAGATTTGCCTGTTCTACTTCCCACTCTGATTCTGATGAATCCTGTCACTCTCTGCATCGCTGGCCTGTACCCAGTTCTTTTATGTATAAATATTTTTTTCTAAAAAAAAAGAAAGATTAATGATTGCTTGAGACTAAGGATGGTGAGGGGAAAAAAGGAGTGACTGCTAATTAGTAATAGAGATGTTAGTGAGAGTGATGAAAATGGTCTCAAACTGTGATAACTACAGAAGTCTGAATACACTAAAAACCAATGAATTGGGGGCTTTCCTGGTGTCCTAAGGGTTAAGTCTCAGGGTTATCACTGATACACAGCTTGAGTTCAATCCCTGGCCAGGGAGCTAACCCACATATGGTGCTGCAGAACTCTCCTATTGAACTCGCCCCCTGCACCCCTTAGCAGTGTATTTCAATAGATCTGCCTGTTCTGCCCCCCACTCTGCCTCTGGTGAATCCTCTCACTCCCCCGAAACTCTGATCTATACTCCAGTTCTTCTATGCAAGCAAAATTAACAAAAAAAAAAAGAGGGACAACAGACCCAGACCAATGTGATGCTTGGACCCTAAGGTATAGGGCTATCACAATGATTTTACTGTCATCCATCTTAGAAAAGGGTATGCAAGTACAAGCACAGCACTTCAATAATAGGCAAGACAGACAGGTAAACGTCTAACTTGCCATTAACAAACAGTATTTATAAAATTAGATCCTAAAATCCCACTAAAGAATCACATGAGTGGCCTCCTTGGTGGGGCAAGAGGTTAAAATAAAAGGATAAAATAAATATCTCCTTAAAGATATAAACCCAAAGAGAAAACATTAATTTTTATAATAAACTAAAAGTAAAACCGGCTTTAAAATGTAATGTCTAAAATTATTGCCTCAAAAATAAAGGCATGAATCAATATAAAAATTATATTTAAAAGCAAAAAAAAAAAAAAATAGTAAGGTGGGTCCTCCTTGATGGCACAAGTTAAAGTGCAGCACTATAAAGCTATCAGCACAAGCTCCATCCCCAGCAGCCAGGGAAGTTTGATTTGCTCACTGCTCCTCTCTGCAGTGTATTTCAGTAAACCTGCCTGTTCTGTTCCCCACTGTCACTGGTGAATCCTCTCACCCCCCTGCACCTTTGGCCTGTACCCCAGTTCTTGTGTGCATAAATAAACAAATCTTAAAATAAAAAAAAAACCCTCATCTGATATATTAATGAGAAATTATCAGTAAATTTCTTCCATGAAGAGAGATCTGTCAAGTTAAAGCTCATTAAATCAGTGTGTCAGCAATGTTGAAATACTGTGGAAGGAAAGCAGACATGAAGGGAAATAGTCTACATGTCAACTATGTCTAAATACCCTTTTCTACTACAATAAACCAGGGCTCCCAGAGGAAATAGCTACTTAAGAAGTAAAAGAGAAAATACAAGATGAACCTGAACATCTTACTGTATTAGAAAATAAAGTATCCCCAAAATATATCAAAAGGATTCAAATGACAGTTTCGAAGAGTAGCAACTTGTTGAATCTAGAATAACTTAAGGATCAGAATTATAGTTCACTGACTTAGAAAAGACTCTTTGAATTTATTCTGATATAAACAGATATAAAAGAAATATGTAAGTGGCAAAAGAAAAACTCTTTTATAGGAGAACACCAATAGATGTAGAAGGTATGACAGAGTAAGGATAGTACCATGTAACAATCATAGTAAAATGATGTCAAGCAAGAATCAATGGATTTAAAACTACTGAAAGTTTGATGGGAAACAGGATATTTTCAGTTCCAAAAGTATCTTCCCACAGATACATATAAGTTACAAAGAAAAAAATGTAAATCCTACAGTGGAGAAATCTGGCACTCCTCTAAACTAAGAGAACAACAATGGGACAAACTAGCATCATACGTTTTCTGATGTGACAAACCAGAAGGATACATGCAACTTCTATTATGCTAAAAAAAATGTATTCTCTGAATTTAGTCATAAAGAAACAAACTAATACATGATGTTGGTTCATAAAATGAGCCTGCATTCTATAAAAATGGCAACATCATTTTAAAAAAGGCTGAGGAACTGTTTCAAAATCAAGGAGATTAAAAAGACATGATTGCTGGCGTTCCCTGGTGGTTAGGGGGTTAAAGCACAGCACTGTAAGTGAGCCGCAGCTACTTCAGTCCAAGTTCTATCCCTGGCCCTGGAGGTGACCACCTGGTGTAGCAGATCTCTCCTGTCTTGCCCACTACTCCCCTCAGCAGTGTGCTTTGTCGATCTGCCTATTCTGTTCTCCACTGTCTGTGATGAATCCTTTCATTGCCCCTGCACCTCTGAGCCGTACGCCAGTTCTGTATGCATAAATAAATTTTTTTTAAAAAAGGACATGACTGCTAAATGCAGTATGTGTCAAAATTTGAAAAATTAATCACATATTGGAAAACAGTGTGTATCAATGTTAAACTCCTGATTTCTAATTATACTATTATGACTGCCAATTTTTAACAAATACATACTGAAGAATTCAGGAGTAAGGGATCAAATGGTTCAACCACAGCAATATTGTCAACATATTTATAAAAGAGAGAATGATAAAGCAAATATAGTTAGCAACTGTTAATCTAGAAAAAGGGTATAGAGGTAATTGTACTAGAAACAATGCAAATTTGAAATTACAAGTAAAAAGGTAACTATTCTAATAATGTAGTAAAAGTATAGGAAATTAAGGAATTGTATTTAATATCCCAAGAGATAGTTTCAAAGTTGCTTTAAAAAATAAATTGTCCGGCCCTCCCTGGTGGCGCAGCGGGTTAAAGCACTGCACTGAGAAGCTAAAGCCACTTCCGCATGAGTTCGATCCCCGCCTGCCACTTCCGCATGAGTTCGATCCCCGCCTGCCCCGGAGGAGACCACATGGCGTGGCAGAACCTCTCCTGACCCGCCCGCTGCTCCCCTCAGCAGTGTACTTCCTCGATCTGCCTGTTCTGCTCCCCACTCTGTCTCTGGTGAAGTCTCTCACTGCCCCTGAGACTCTGGCCTGTACCCCAGTTCTGTATGTACAAATAAATAAATCTTAAAAAAAATAAAATAAAATAAAATAAATCGTCCTTAATTGTTTTTTATTTGTCACAGAATTAACACTTTGAGCTTTCTAGCTATCAAGAGATTATTCTCCTCTTGCAGCAGCATAACAAAGTGATAGGAAAAAAACACTTAGTTACCAATAAGAATTCTATGAAAAAATGTTCAACATCACTTATAATATAGGAGATGCAAATTAAAACCACAATGAGATACCACCTCACAGCAACATTGGTTCTATAGTCCTATTGCCTGTATCTGAACTTCAGCCATTCATATGTCCTTAGGCAATTATCCAATCCCATTAATCTATAAAATAGCAAATAATACCATCACTTACACTTGTGATGAAAGGTAGTAAGTAGATTGATGTCTATCAAAAAGACCATTCAATATATATTTAAAATTAAATCACATGAAAAACCAAAGTAATTAAAATAAATTATGATTTCTAAATCTTGAAAAAAATGGATTGTTCCCCCATACTAAATCAGTAAGTATCTCTTTTCACCATACTAAATTAGTAAACATCTTACTATGTTAAATTAGTAAACATCTTACTAAATTAGTAAACATCTTACTTACTCATCCCCAAATAGCTGATGGGTATATTCAGGAAAGAAAGTTCTAATGTCATTCTCAAGATCTTCTGGAAAACGAACTGTTAAAAGAATAAGATATATAAATTATTAAAGGTGACATATATTTCCAATTCAAAAATTTCACTATAACTAGGAGACAGTCAACATTTTTCTTACTTAAAATGTGACATTTCCATTATATGATTTATACTGATCTCATGAGACCAGTGAGCAATGAACTAGATTATCACTAAGTGCTTCAGCATGCAAGGAACTAGGGACTATGACAGAGACATCTGACATAGTTTTTCCTTTTCTTCTGTATTTATACAGAATGCAGAGTAAAAGAAAACACAAAACTGAAAAAGACATTTTGAAATAAGAAAAGCTATAAAATTAGGGCCCTCCCTAGTAGCGAAGCTATCGCAGCCACTACAGCACCAGTTTGACCTCTAGCTAGGGAGGTGACCCACATGGCATGGCAAACCTCTCCTGTCCTGCCTGCTGCTATACTCAGCAGTGTATTTCAGAACATTTGCCTTTTCTTCTCCCCACTCTGTCTCTGGTGGGTCCTCCCATCCCCTACCCCCGCACCTCTGGCCTGTATGACAGTTCTTGTGTGCATAAATAAATAAATAAATCTTAAAAAAAGAAAAGCTATAGCATCAAAGAAACAAAAACAATAAGGAAATATTCTGAGACCAAAAATAATCTGTTTGATGAAACTCTTAACTCTTAATACCACATCCAAAATATTTATATCACTCCATGTTTTTTCTGCTATTAAAACTAATGCTGCAATGACATGCATCTATATACCTACTGTACTTTTACAAATAAATTCCTGATAGTAGAAATGTTGAGTAAAAGTACTGAAATATTTTTATAAATATTGCTCCTTCAAAAATATTAAAGCTTTACCCATTAGCAGTGACTCAAATTTCTATTTCCCACATCTTTGACCCTCAACTTTAATATCTAAAATGGAAATGGACACTGTTATTTTTATTTGCATTTATTATGATGCTGTTATTATTTTCCCAGTATAATTTATCTTATGAAGAAATATTTGACAAAAAAAATCCCTATGCAATCCAGATAAGACAACCTGCAGATAAAAACGTTTTAATACTGTCCTCGCACAGCAGGTCACTCACATATAGCAGATTTTCAGAAGAAAAATATCTTTACACTGTAGAGGTTTGGCAGTAACACACCTCTCCAAGTTTTCTAATTCGGAACTATTCGCTAGGGGATAGACAGCACTATGCTGTTTCTAGTTCAATGCAATATGACCCAGACATCACCTGTGATGTTATCATACCAAAAATGTTTATTCTAGATCTAATTCATCTTTCTATCTTAAGATTTACACAAAGGAGGGAGGGCATAGGAACAAGTTAAATATTACCAAAAGAAAAGAGACACATATAGAATGTGGATTTGTCTAATAATTCTACACAATGACTTTACAGTTTTCCATATAAATCAATGGCAGAGAGAGAGGAAAAGCTCCATGCAGAGAAGGAACTGTTCCAGATTAAGAGGGAAGAAAATATTACCACCAAATATAACTGCAATCCTTGATTGGTTCTGGCTTAAATGATTTGTTTTTTAAAGCTATTGAAGACTTTTGAGGACAACCAAGAAAACCAGAAGACTACCTGACATCAATGAACTACCATTTACATTTTTAGGTGTGGTAATAGCATTATGGTTATTTATGTGAGTATCCATACAGCAGACCTATGCTATAAGGGGAAATGTCAGGATGTTCAGAAATCTACGTTTACACACATTACAATAAATATGGTAAAATGTTAATTGTTGAATTTAGGAGTCAGGCGAATATTGTTATTCTCTCAACTTTCTTATTATTAAAGATTTACTTTTGCATATAAGAACTGGGGTATAGGCCAGAGGTTGGGGTGGTGGTGAGAGGATTCCCCAGAGACAGAGGGGGCAGCAGAACAGGTAGATCTAATGAAACACACTGCTAAGGGGAGCAGCACACAGAGAGGTCTGCATGCCATGTGGGTTGACTCCCAGGCTCTGGATCAACTCAGGTTGCTGTAGTGGGCCCTCCCAGTAATAACACTGAGACTTAACCCCTAGATCACCAGGGAGGCCCCTCTCTTAGCTTTTTTATTTATTTGAAATTGTTCAAGGAAAAAGAGACTTGGGAGTATACAGCAAAAGTTAAGATTTGCAAAAACTAATGGGATCACAGATATTCACTAGTTTGCTCTGTTCTTCTGCATGCCTAGAGTGTCAAAAAATTAAGTATTCCTGTGTATGGAGACTCATTCATCTGAAAATCCCCATCAATTATCTTTAATATTTTCAAATGGCCCTTCCTAGTGGTACAACAGGTTAAGGCACAGCACTGTAAGCTAGCAGCAGCCACTTAACTGTGAGTTTGATCCCCGACCCCAGAGGTGACCCACATGGTGCAGCAGACCTCTCCTGACTCACCTGCTGCTCCCTTCAGCAGTGTATTTCACTGATCTGCCCGTTCTGTTTCCTGCTCTGTCTCTGGTGAATCCTCTCACTGCCCCTGCACCTTTGGCCTGTGCCCCAGTGCTGTATGTGTAACTACATAAATCTTAAAAAAAAAAAAAAAAGTCTAGCTATCCTTAACAATTTCAAACTCTCCTTCTAATATTTAGCATTCTGGTAGTGAGTAGAGATATGCAAGATATGCACAGAGAAAAAGACAATAAATAACAAAAGTGTCATAAGCCTAGTTAATGATAGGTCTGTAATTTAGACTGATCTTCACCTAATGCTCCTATCATCCAAATTAGTTAGGTTATTACTAGTGTAGCCTACAATTGAACTAAAAGAAAAAGTTAAGTGGGGAGATGACTCTTTCAGTTAACATAAAATGAAAAACTTAAAGCAAATATATTTTTAGTTATTGTTTGGACCTGATTAGATTTTACATAAGATAATCTAAGACAAACTCCTTGAAACCAAGGTTATGTACTTTAAAAAGGACTCTTTTAATAGCCAAATAAGTTTTTATATTAGTCATTATTTACATAAAAACATGTTCACTGTAGGGCCCCCTGGTGGCCCAGGGGTTAAAGATAGCACTATCAAGTTATCTTGAGCCACTGCAACTTGAGTTCCATCCCTGCTAGGGAAATAACCCACATGGTATGCAGACCTCTCCTGTCTCTCCTATTGCTCCCCTCAGCAGTATATTTCAGTAAAATCTGCCTGCTCTGTTTATCACTGTCTCTGGTAAATCCTCTCACCAACCACCCAAACTTGATGAACATTAATTAATCCAGTCACTACATTTCTTTATTCCTCCTCTAAGAATCTTGACTTCATTGTATCTCAGCCTCTTAATCTTGTAACATATACTTATTTATCACTAACAATAACCACACACCTCCTTAATCTGTTTCAAATATTGCAGTCTTCCTAGTTCACTCTTCCTAGTTCACTCCCTGCAATAATAATTCTAACAATTCTTCAACCCCTACTAGGACTTACAAGGCATTAAATAGAATACATTTGCACTGTTCTTCACCACCTTTCTATCCTTGAGTGTAGATTTCCATGGCCAGTAATTATCATTCCCTTGTAAAATTCTCAACTCCTTTGCTCCCATCTTCATCATACTAGTCTGCTATAACCCCCAACTCTAGTTAAATATGACTATATGTCCACTCTTTCCCTCACTTTTGCATTATATATGGTTAACCACACATTCTGTTCATGAGTACTAACTTGAAATGTGTGAGTGCTAATGCTATCTACCAATCAAAGCATAGTTCTTAAGTACACTCACCCCATTATTCTTGACAAGATTAACTTTTCCTCAAACCTTCAATACCAATTAGAAAACAGAAGCATTCTACACTTATTAATTTTTTGCAATCACTGACACATACCCTGTCTTCTTGTAATGGTAGAGAAATGTTCCAAGCTTCCTTCTAAGACTTACCCATCTACAGATGGGTAAATAGAGTATGTTCATCTCCTTTTGACCTAGCACAAATGTTCTCAAACAACAGCATTATTCACTCCTACAGAGGAGATTTGACAGCGTCAGAAGACAGTTTTGGTTAGGGAGAATGTTACTGGCATCTAGTGAGTATAGACCAGGGATGCTGCTAAACATTCTAAATTGCTTAGGACAGCACTCTGCATCAAAGAATTACCTAATCCAAAATGTCCAAAATCCAATAGTGTTGAAGTTGAGAAACTGATCTAGCATTTCAATTTCTAGTTACACAGTCTATTGGTAAAACAAGTTGCTAAAAGATATACACAAGAATATTTATCAGAGAACTATTTTTTACAGCAAAAGGAGAAGCAACCTAAAAAGCCCCAATAGAGTACATACCTAGTAAGGTATGATGTGGTCATGCTATTTTGAAAGAACTTCAATTTAAGATGGAACTAGAGACTATAAAATGGAAAACCTTAACCATGTGCCCTCAAGAAAATAGGAGAACTCCCATAAATCATTGATTTACAAACAAATTTTTCCAAAGGCATAAACAAGGGATGACCCAGGTTGGGTTGGTCTTATTTTTTTGTCAAGATTTATTCACTTGTGCATATAGAACTGGGGTACGGGCCAGAGGTGCAGAGGATTTACCAGAGACAGAGTAGGGAGTAGAAAAGGCAGATGTGCTGAAGTACACTGCTGAGTGTAGGAGTGGGTGTGGCAGGAGAGGTATGCTCCCTAGCCTAGGATCAAACTCGCAATGAAGAGGCTGTGGCTAGCTTCTTAGTGCTGCACTTTAACCCGTTGTGCCCCCAGGAAGGGCCCTGTGTTGGTCTTATAACATGAGCTACATTGGGCTGTGTTTCTAAGCAGGGCTAGTTTTGTCTGCTCAGGGAATTTTCAGGGCTATTATTCCCCATTGGTTTTTTACTGAACTCTTCCCTATTTACATTTTCTGACCATAAATACAGCCTATCACCTATAGCTTGCTAGTTTGAATGTACTGAATTATAATTGCTCTTATCTTCTGAAATAAACTCATTTTTGACAATTTTGAATGTGTCTTAATTATTTCTTTATTTAACACTTTATTACATAACTTGAAAGAATAAAGTAGGCCTATAGGGAGATACAGGGGATGATAGTCAATAATTAAGTTAAATAACAAAACCTTCTCAACAGGATCCCAGTTTTAGAAAAATCAATATATACATTAGAAAAAAAATCTAGTTCAGTATTACCTTTGTAGTGAGAGAGTTCTAGAGACTGTTACTTTCTTTGTCACCTTCTCTATATTTCCAACAATATACTTGTTTTAAGTGCATTGCTGTGTTTAAGATTTATTTATTAATGCATACAAGAACTGGGGTACTGGCCAGGGATGCAGGGGGTGAGAGGACTCACCAGAGACAGAGTGGCGAGCAGAACTGGCAGAGCTACTGAAATACACTGCTAAAGTGAGCAGTGAGCAAGACAGAGGAGGTCTGCTGTGCCATGTGGGTCACCTCCCTGACTGGGGCTCGAACTCATGCTGCAGTGGCTGTGGATAGCTTTATAGTGCTGCACTTTAACCCCTTGAACCTTAAGTGCATTGTTTTATAAAAATAATAGTAGCTAATATAGTGAGATTTCCTATGTCACTGTTTAAGCAACTCATCTGTATTCAACCTCACACTTAATTTTTAAAATCACGAAGAAATACTGTTAATTACATCTTAAAGATGAGGAAGCTGAAGCAAGAAAAGCGATAGGATCAAGATTCATGAGCATGTAATTCTTCTTTAAACAGTTTTATTGAGGCATACTTTACAAACCAAAAAATGCACTTGTTTTAACTGTGTAGCTCAATGATTTTTAGTAAATTTAGGGTTGTGCAACCACTGCCACAATCTAATTTTAAAACACTACCATCATCCCTCCAATAATCTCATGCCCATGTACAATCCCTTTCTGTTCCCACACTCAGCCCCAGGCAACCACTAATCCATTTTTCATCTCCACGTAATTATGTTTTCCAAACATTTTCATTGTGTACAAATGAATACGTACAACATGTGGAGTTATTTCATCTGGTTTGTTTCAGTTAATGTTTTTAGAGTTTCACCTATCTTGTAGAAAATGTCAGATCTTCATTCCTTTTTACTGTCAAATAATATTTCATCATGTGCATATACATACACATATACATGTATGTATACATATACAAAATTGGTACACCTACAAGTTGATAGAATGCAGTTGTCTCCATTTGAGGCTATTGTGAAGAATGTTATCAACATTCATTACAAGTTTTGTATAAATATACATTTTTATTTTCTAGGTGTAGACTCATTGAGTTATACAATAAATGCGTGTTTAAAGAACTTGCTAAAATACTTCTTAAAGTTTTACACTCACATCAGTAATATGATTATTTTCCCATATCCTCAGCAACATTTATTGTCTATTATTTTTATAAGCAAAAAAGGAAAGGTAGAGGCTATAACTTTTGCCATGGTGTACTTATATAGGTAAACTCTACCACTTTCAAACACACACCTACTCAACGACATAAATCAAGAGTGAATAAATGTCATGTTTTATAAGTACAGAACACCATACATTTATATAAACAACTACTCTTACATATGATTCTACTTTAAAGTTATAAAGATTATATAAACAGTATATATGTATGTATACACACATATATAAAATATCACTTAGAAATGACATACATACCTAATTTTAGTTCAATTGCTGTGTTCGTGTTACATTTGTACTCTGCCAATTTCTTCTCTACTGCACTCTTGTATTCAACCAAAAATTTCTCCATAGCACCAAATCCTAAGAGAAAAGGTTTTTAAAAGATATGTTGAAGGTGGTTGAAATAGTCAAACTTACAAGTAAAGTTCTTATTAGAAAAGAATTAAATTAAGATTCAAAACAATATGGATATACTAAGTAAACACCTCGCTACAAATCACAAAACATCACTTTTGAGAGGCTTAGAATTAGACCTACTTTATATAAACTAGTAAATCTGAAAATTAAGCAACAGGCTGACTTTTCCAAATATTTAATACTAATATAAAATTGACTGGTAGGATGTGTAGCTAAGTAGCCTTTTTAAAAGACATAAAAAGGATGCCACTATTTCATTAAGAAACAAAGTGAAAATATTCTTTCATAATTACAACAGCATTTTACTTCTACTACTGGAAAAATTCTACACATCAACTATTAAAAAATCATCAGCTGATTGCATATATTTTATCTCAGGAAGAATACACAAGAACTATTAACTATGGTCACCTGTCATCTCTAAGCTAAGAAGCAGCAATAGGGACAAGGACAGGAATGGGAACAGAAAATTTCTCTGCAGTAAAATTATTTACCTGTGTGTGTGTAAAGCCAAACTATGGGCAACTGGAATGACCAACTGGTTTTACTTTATGTGGCTACCATACATAACTAACAACAGAATTAGTCATATATCAAGATAAACTTTCAAGTAAAGATGATAGTAAAACACCTGACAAAAATGAGCATAAATATTAATAAAAATTTGGGGGGGAGAGGGAGTGATGAGCAGAAACAAAAGGGGTATTGTCATACCATAAATTTAGTAAGTGATTATAACAGAGAAATGGGAAACACAAGTTGTATAAATTAATGGCCTGGAGCGAGAACTCTTGGATTAAAATACAGGTGTTGCCATTTATTTACTACATTTGTAAACTAGAGCACATTACTTTATTCTCTGACCACAGTATACAAAATTGGGATAATAGAATCTACCTCAAGAAATTTATATATAACACTACCAATCAAACTTCACTTGTGAAATTATAATTTAGTTTAACCCCCACAATGTATAAATAGGTATCATCTGTACAATTTCATATTCAAAATCACATGTTTAGAAAGAGGTGTAGTTGCTTAAAGGCATCCCACAACGAAGTGGTGACGCTGCAAGTGTTAGGTGTTAAGTTCTTACATTATGTACATATACAAAACTCGTGTATCTTCCCCCTCTCACCGTACCCTCCTCCCCCGCCCTTTTCTAGTACCAGAGTCTCCCAAGATTCTACATCTATCTGGTGAAACATCTTTTCCTTAAACATCGGTTGTAACCTGGATATCCAGTACGTCTATAAAAATGTAATTAAGACTAGTATGAAGACATTTTAAAAAAAAAAAGTAGAATCTATCCATCACTTCAAAAGCTACGCAACTGGGGGGGAAAAACATCCACCAAAACCATCTTAATACACGTACAAAAGAATTATTGTAAAATGAAAGCGAACTCAAGAAAAGGGCAGAATAGAACGGACATCAGAGAATTATAGCTGACAGATTCTCAAAGTTTAGACGAATAAAGGATGCGAGAACCGATTTTCCAAAGGAAATGTAAACAGAGCCAAGGAAAGTTCATGTGTGAGAGATTGAGGAGGTAATTACGAAGTCAGTGGAGATTCAAGAGTCCTAGTGCAGGCAAGGCAAGGCAGCAATGCGCTAGCTCCAAAGTTGACTGTAGTGGAAGGTGGAGGGAAACCTGGAGGAGGAGGACCTGACTGAGCATTACAATCAGCTGGCGGGAAGTGGACCAGAGTAGCGTCGCTGAGGCAGTGGTGGGCAAAGGAGTGCGACGAGAAGCCTCCCGGCACCTGGCACCTCACCAGCCCAAACTGAGGCGCTTCCTCCAACCTCACTGGCCCTGGGTAAGGGCCGAATTCCTCGCAAAAGGCTCAAAACCCCAGGCAGTTGGGGGCGGGGGCGCGAACCACCGCAGACAAGAAGCTGGGTTCGGAGTTCAGGGCTCCCAGGCTGAAGCAGGCCTTCTGGAACCCAGGCCAGAGCCGGAAAGTTCCAGGCGGGCACTGTCACCACCGTCTCAGCGTTCTTTCCCGGACCTGCACGCCCCCTCCCCTCGGTAAACTTTTCCCGGGAACTTACCCGCCATTTCCGAGCTGCAAGCACCAGCGGCTGAGGAAGGACGAATCAACCCGCGCGTTCCCTGGCCGGAAGTGAGCGCACTGACTGACGCATTTCCCCCGCCCACCCCTCGCCTGTGGTTGGCCAATGAGAAGAGGAAGTTCGAGGCGCGGGGAGGCGGAAGGACCCTGAGAGGTGGGGCTAGCGCCGCTGAGATACTCAGGCTGGAGCGTAGGCTCGGCTGGTGCTGTTGGCATCTTTTAGGCCCGAGAGAGAGTGGGAGGCCACAAATGGGATTTTGTATATTGAGGCGCACGGTGGCGGGAGGAGAGTTTCTTTGGAATTGGTTTGAATATTATAGATCTGTTATGGCTGTTTTCTCTCCTGACACTCAGCCGTCTCTTGGAAACTGGTGGAAAAACTTTCCCCTTAGCCTTGGATTTACGTAGGTAAAATGTAAGGATTGATGGCAACTACAGGAGAAATGTTCACTTCTTTCATTTGTTTCAATTTTTGCAGAACGCACTTTTTAAACATTGCTTTCGTTTTCTCATTTTTAACAGTATAGAGTGATATGTTTAGGTCCTCTTTCACTCTCAGGGTTACTTGACAGTGACTCAGGGAACCACTTAGTGCACTGAAATTGCTACCTAATAATACGTCACATGACCTGACAGCCCCACAGGTCTAAGAGCTGATGATTTGAACCACATTACCAGATGCTGCCTGATTTGGATCCGTGATTGTTTGTTGTAACTGCCCTAGCTGATAAACCATTATTTAGGTGTCCCCACACTCCCACAGTATTGTCTGTACACTAGAATCTTAACAAATGTTAAGAGGTTTTACAATGATGAGCTAGAGCGAAAGTGAATGAACCTTTAGAATGATAATCTAGAATTAGTATATCCCGACCCCTTGTTTTATGGATGAGGAAAGGAAAGCCCAACAAAAAGGAATTGCTCAAGCTCACACTCTGTATCATCTGTACAAGAGCCCAGTTCTCCTCAGATACCCAACCAAGTATTTTTTTCAACTGCATTGAGATGCCCTCTTGAAGATCAGAAAAGGTATTGAGAATGCTCAGATTCTTTCTCTTTTGACCTTAGTGGAAGGTTTAATGTTCAAAATACTAAAATCAAGGCTACTAAAACATCGTGGGTCTGAAAAAGAAAACTTTTTAAAATTAAATACTTTTTACATCAAAAAAATTAAATATTTTTTTTCAAAATGGCAAGACCTTTTTTTTCACAAATCACCTTATCTGTAGATCAACCAGCAGCTGGCCAGCAGTTATGATCCTTTTAATAAGAGATACAGAGGAATTTGTCTTATCTGCAACAAATCTAAAACAGATTATGACCTTATAATTAGTAGTAGAGAAGAAATAAGATGAAGATTTTATATGATAAATATGAAAAAGAACTAAGATGAATATGAATAATATGAAACCTATATATCATGGGACAAACATTTAACTTGATTTGCTTGCAGAAGTGAGGTTACGATTTTAAATTTCCTTGTCTTAGAACTGTTCCCACATATTTGTTAAAATATCACAGATTGTCTGTGTAGGTGCAGTTTAAGTGATAAAAAGATATTTTCTTTCAGAAAGAAAATGGTAAATTTATTAAAAAGAAAATGTTATACTTTTTAAAGATTTAATTTTTTTTTATTTATGCACACAAGAACTGAGGTATAGGCCAGAGGTGCAGAGGGGTGAGAGGTTTTACCAGGGACAGAGTGGGGAGCAGAACAGGCAGATCCACTGAAGTACACTGCTGAGGGGAGCTGCGCCACGTGGGCCAGCTCCCTGGCAGGGAATTGAACTCAGGCCACAGCAGGGGTAGCACAGAGACTTAACCCCTAGACCACTAGCGAGGCCCCCATGACCATCTTTTTATTATATTTTAGATTTTTTATTTATTTATGCATACAGAACTGGAGTACAAGCCAGGGGTCCAGGGGCAATGAGAGTATTCACTAGAGATAGAGTGGGGAGCAGAGCAGGCAGATTGATGAAGTATACTACTGAGGGGGGCAGCAGAGTTGACAGGGGAGGTCTGCTGCGCCATGCAGATCACCTCCAGGGCCTGGAATCAAACTTGTGCTGAAGCTGCTACAGTGCTGCGTTCCAAACAGCTGCCCCACCAGGGAAGGACCTGACCATATTAATAGTGTGTTTAAAAAAAATGCTTTCTGGAGGTTTCAAGACAGGACAGCAAAATTTTACAAGTCCACACACAATTGAACCTGTAGCAAACATTACCTGCCATTGTAGTGCTAGTTAATTCCTAACAGTGCAATATAGCCTTTTTCTCTGGGGGAGGGGAGGGGAACTTTTTCCATATTTTCTAATGCAGAACAAATACCATATTAATACCACCCTCACTGGGTTTATTATCTCCATTTAATAGATGAAACAAGGTCACACAATCATGAAGTAAAAGAACTGAGACAAACAGAGCACTGAGCTTTCCACACTACTGTCTCTTCCATATCTATCTGAATAGCATATTCCTCTTGTAGAACTTTTTTCCCAAGGTGATACTATTCACTTCCTAAATCCCTTTTAAAACAAAGTAAAATATAAATTTAGATAAAAGGGGAAACCCTACAAAATAACATTTTAAAATAATACCGTATTATATCATAAGTTTCGGGTACTCATGATTACAACAGCTGTAGCTGAAAGGAGCTGGTCTGTGATGATTTTTATGCTATCTAGTTCATATGTATTTTCTGATGAGATTATATAGAGTTAATATTAAAAAGAAAAAGAAGAAGAAGATTGTCATCATAAACTTACCAGAAGTGGATTAAGAAGAGGTTGGTACACCTGACCTATACCCCAGTCTTGTATGCATGTATAAATAAAAATAAATCTTAAAAAAGGAAGAGGTTGGTGCATTCCTATGTATGAGATTATTGTACCACAAATAATTCCAGAAGGTTCTTACCCTATCCTAAAATATTCCAATATGAGAGGAAGACTTCATTAATTAGAGTCCGCAGACCAATGATGCTATAGGAATTTGAGCTAGAGATAGAATATGTTGAGGTAGTTGATTTGACATCAGGTGGGCCTAAAGGAATCCCTGCTTGAGAGAGAGCTCAAAGCTATGTTTTCAGAAATATCTGCACTATTAACAATTATATGTATGGACTCCCTACAAACTGGAATGACAGCAAGTAATGGAAAATACACCGTTTTTAATGGAAATGGGAGGAACTGACAGATCACACTCAGTTTGTTTTCATCTTTGAGCTATTGTGGCATTAATATCCAAAAAACAAAAATAACCAACTGCCCCCCAATACCATAATTTGTAAGTCCACAGAAGGTGGTAAATTATCCATCATTCAAAAAGGATTACTGAAAAGCAATCCTACTAAATAAATTTATTTATACATCTTAAATGGCAAAAGAAGTATAATAGTAGACTTAGTTAGTTATATAGTCTTTGCTGATGTGATGCAAAATTGTGATTTATAGAAAATTAAGTTACCTGCTCCAGGCTTTGTTTAATGTATTCAGATTACTCAGAATTGTATTTGTCATAGTCATACAATTTCAAGTTCCACTTGAAATTATTTATATAATTTAACTTTTTTATAAGCTACATACTAGCTGTTTCTACTTTTGTTTTATCAAGTTACTAAGGAACCTGAAGTTGGTGGGAATATAAACATAAAATATTTTATTTTTTTCTTTAGTCTACTTTACTTCTTTTGATATCTTTTCTCCAATCCCCCTTTCACATAACAACTCTCAGGAAGATTCCTTAGCTTTTTGGTCTTTTAAATTGTTCAAAGTCTAGCATAGCCTAGATTAAAATTTTCAGTGTTTTAAAACATTTTTCATAGCTGGTCACCCTTGTAGCCACTGAGGAATAGTTACAATTCTGTAAAATATAGTCAGTTTCTCATATATTCTCCCTTTCCAAGACCTGTAAGACTGGGCTTGGCAAAATATCTAATTCTAGGATATTTCTTCCTCCTTCCTTTTCAAGGCTAACTCCTCTGGTATTGGAGAATTAAATGGAATAGAGGGGAGATCAGCTTACCACTTAACTACTTTGTTTTCATCATCTCTGTTTCTCTAGCTGATATTGATAGGCATCAATGGTTTTCCATGTATGATTAATTTCTTTGGTGAGCTGACACAGGTTCTCCATTTTGTACCAATTCCCTGACAAAGAAACTGGATCCTTGCTCTTATTGTCTCCTTTATCAGAGGCCTCCTTATTTATCTTTTCTTCTTGGTTTGTAGATCTATGCATTCTGGCTACAGGAGATACTCTTTTTATCTCCAATGTTTTAATAGTCCATAATGTGCCTTGGAATTGAGACTTTTTTCATTCATTGTTCTGAGTACTCAGAAAACTTTGAAACTCAAACCTTTGTTTTATATGAAAATTGTTTGTATTTCTTTGAGAATTTCTTTTTTAAAAAGATTTATTCATTTATGCATACAAGAACTGGGATACAAGCCAGAGGTGTGGGGTGTGAGAGGATTCACTAGAGACAGACTAGGGAGCAGAACAGGAATAAATATTGAAATACATTGCTGAGGGGAGCAGTGGGCAAGACAGGAGAGGTCTGCTTTGCCATGTGAGTCACCTTCTTGGCCCTGGAATGAACCTGTGCTGCAGTGGCTGTGGACAACTTCATAATGCAGCACTTTAAAAACTCTTGCACCACCAGGGAGGCCCCTGTTATCATTTTTTAATTTCTTATATTGAGCAGCTACATATTTGAGAATCTATGTGAGTTCACAATTTATTGCTATATTTTTAAATTACAGCTTGTAAAATTTAGCTCAGCAATTTGAAACCAGAATTAGAAAGAAATAGAATGGTACAGAGTAGAAAATGCCAGAGTATATGCATATAGTAACATCCAATATTGCTTCATGAAATTTTTATTTTAGTGCGGACTAAAGTGATTTCAAAAATATGTGTTTTTACCACTATCTATTTTTGAGTCCATAGGTTTGAAAGCTACCACTGGAAAAGGACAAAAAGCAAGTAGTTAATTAAAATCTATACACAGAGTGGGGCATTCTCCAGGTGGAGAAAGGGCAGTAGGTTTGT